GGTGAAGAAAGGTGATTTGTACTTTTTATGTATTTTTCTTGTAAAAAATACTACATAGGTAATTCATTTTTGGTCTATTTAACTACTTTTACAGAAGTTTTTTACAATATTTTGTTTTGTAAATTTTATAGTATGTACTATTAAGGGTGTGCCTACTTGTGCCTTTTTTAATTGAGACACTACACCATCATTTTCTTTTCAAGAAATCTGACTAATAACTGAAATTCGTAACTGCACAGGTAACTTTCTTTTTTAAGGAGAGTTCTCTTTCGAAAACGTGTAAACCTTACCTCTGCATTATCCTCACTACTCCTTGCGTTTGCAGGGACTCGGTGAGCTTTCCTTTTCTTCTTCTTTTTCTTTTTCCTTGAAATTTCCTTGATTTCAACTTGTCCCAGATCATTGTTCGTCAAAGAGCTGGTTGTTTCATGATCATCATCCTCCTTCACTTCCGATTCTGAGTGGGACTGCTCATTTAACTTTAAAAACAAAAAGAAATGTTAAGTAGCCAGATACACAATTATTGCAACTGACATATTATAATGTCACTTCTTTATTTTGCAATTATTTAATTTGAAAAAGTTTGTGTTCTGTTGATTTGGTGCGGATGAATCAGAAACAGCCAAAACAGATGATTTCGTTTCATATTTTCATGCATACTACCATTCTATTAGAGTTAAGTAATGCCAAATACTTGGTTGGTCGACTTCAGACAAAGAATTGTCGTTTACCTACCACAATAATGATGAGAAAGTCTCTTTTTGAAAATCAATGAATCTTTGTTTTTCGGTTAAGTAAGTTGCATGAAAGAACCCTGCAAATAAAACCAAGGGATCCAAATGGTGGTATTATCTGGTCTGATGTTCTTTGGAACCCATTTGAGCACAAGAGGCTTCAAAATTGAAGTATCAGTGTGCAAATTGTATGGGAAGCAGGGCTGAATATTAAATTTTTAGCAGATTGTAGAGGAATGAGCGGATGCAACATCAGACTGGTGATTGAGGAAAGTTTCTTTTCAATCATTGGCCGGGAAGATGAAACTGACAAAAAGAACCAACTTTCGAACAGATGATGAGCGTGCAACACAGTGTCAATTGTATTAAACGCTTTCAAACAAAGACTCAGTAGATATCTGACCCAGCAGTAATGGCATGATTTCTTCGGAGAATGCTAGGAAAAGGCTGAAAAGCTTTGTTTTTCTTATACCTACTTGACCCGTTGAAAGTTTCATGTATAAAACATGTTAGACTCGACGCCAAATCCCTTGGTTTCAAGTAAGGGGTATTTCATATCTCAGCTCAGTATGCCTTATTATTTCCTTCACAACTGAATTGCTTGTGAAAAAAATTGGCCCTGACACTTACTTTGGAAGAATCAGAAACCAGTTTCATTTCAGTTGAGCTTAAAACTAGAAATGAATCTCTCATGGTTATGGGTATGAATCTCTCTACGGTCATGGTTGGACAGTACTAATGGTAAACATAAGTTAGAGCCCATTTCAGATAACTAGTCCTTTATTGCTGTATGCACGGAATAAGAAATTCCCTATTACCTACATGCATATAGCTAAAAGGGACAAGTTGTCTGAAACAGGCTCTAATTACTTATAATAGGTAAAAGAGGTGACAATCATCGGGCCTGATATGATAACCTAAAAGAAGAGAGAGAGCCATCCCTTCTTCTAATTATATTGGTAGTGTGGATGAATGGTCACCACAGTTTAAATGTATCCTGATAGAAGAATACTTATGACACGCAGAATGTCGTCAAATAAAAATAGTACCTGTTGATCAATCAATCCTTCAAGAAATATTTTGGTACAGGAATTTTCTTAGATAGAACATGATTGCAGACAATTGAGCAGGACTTAATGAAATTAAAACTCTATAAATGACAAAATAAGAACTCCAATACGAATGCAGTTACAATTAAGTGTGAATGAAGTAAGAGACAACTAGTATATAGTTTTAGGTACTTCTACAACATCAAAGCAGTCTGCTGCTCACAGTCTCTGAGTATCTCCAAAACTTAGCGTATTACATTGAACTGCTACCATGTCATTGATGCTACAAGAGCATGCTCCCTGGTACACATTCTTTCAAAGACATTAAACGCATCTTGGTTCCTGCTAAAGACAGATGGAAAGCATACACAAGGTGACATGATTACAGTGATTCTGATAAAACTTTGCATAAGAGCATTCTCCTTGGAGGGATTACACCGATGGCCAAAGAAAAAATCTACGCCGCAAGAAAACTCACCACATCATAGCGGTTAAGATTCAGCTGCTTTTTCCTTGCCCCACTTGAATGGGAGAGATCACCTTCAGCATCACTTCCATCTTCAGGTAAGAATGTGATATCTTTCTCACCCTGCAGCCCTAGTTTCTTGAGGACTCTTGAAGACATAGTTTACTTTAGAAGATGGGAACAACACAAATCATCATACTACAAATGACAAGGTGTTGTCTAAGCGAGAGGTGAGGATAAACACAAACACAATGATAATGAAGTAGTCATCTGCACACGTTTTTAGCTGAGAGAACCGTCTATAAGAACAAACCACGACGGCAAGTTATCACTTCCCACTTCCCAGACGGACAGGAAAAACTAATTTTCATTATTAGAAATATGTAGCTACAAGGAAGAGATATTTTTAGACATCACACATGGTACTTCAGCACAGTCATAAGATCTGGATTCTGGAGATAACGACATGGAAGGATAAATGACTGCACTACGAGAATAAATAAAAAAAAAAAAATACAAATACATTATCAGCATGCAGCTGATAGTTGATAAAAACGATGTGTTGAAACGTAAAATCGAAAATCCCGGGGAGGCGAAAATTGAAAAATGCAAACTGTTGAACACGTAACACGTTGCACAGTTTTAGTCCTTTTCATGCAGTTAACTAAAATAAAATACCTCATAAAATATTGCTTCTAATGATTATTTTTAAATGTTTGGACATAAAAACCAGGGAGATATAGAAAATAAAATTTAGTCATGAATTTAGATGACCACGTTTGTGTACATAATGGGAATTTAGATTTATATCTCCGATGAACATGATGTGAAAGATATTTCCCGCCATTCAAGCTGAGCTTCAAATCTGCGCTAAATGCAAGAAGGCGCGCTCTCTCTGGTAGGTTTCATGTGTGTCATGAAGACGTTTAACTACATATCACTTAACTGAAAAACCATGACACAAAATCTATTAACATATGTCTGACAGTTATTTCTTTTTCTTTTGCTTTTCTCACATGTTCAAATTAGCCTGCTGGCCAACGACCACGTGCCTCTTTGTACAGGTAGGTATTCTCTGTTGAAGGGTCCCATAAAAAAGTTTTTTCCTCACTTATTCATTTATTTATCAAATCTTTCAGCAGATTATTTTCAGTCCTTTTAATTTTAATTTTACTCTATAGCATCAACAGAGAGTTCCCTTTTGCCTGCGTCTTTAGATATGCTCACTTAATGCATTCCCATTTCGATGGTGAAAGTGCAGAAGGACGTACCTCAATTTTGGACAGTTTTGAGTTAGCTGCATAAACGTGCTGTTAAAGATGTCTATCTGCCATTAAGAGACTATAATCTAAAAAATCGGGAAGTCACCTAAAACCGTAGAGCTTTTTTTGTGTATCCTGGGCTTATGTAAAGTTTCATGAGGGTGTATAAAGGTACCCAGTCATAGAATAAAATGTAGACACATGCTGAGAGAAGATCAAATTTAATGGAGCTTCAAACATAATTATTTTACATCAACTGTAATATGTGACAGTGAAAGGGCAAAATGGATGCATTAAATACACCACCACACTGCTGTACTAGGAGAAAATGCTGTGCGACATTCAAATATTGCCAGATTTGATCCTATAAAATATTTATTTTTTGGGCGAGGGATGAATATATTTTCTTAAAATTTTCCGAGAATTTAGATAAAGTTGCGAATAATATTCTCTGAATTTTTTTTTGGGGCTAAGTCTAAAATTCTTGAAAATTTGGAGGAAAATTATTCAAAAGCTTCCCTTAGAACTAGTAATTCATCAATTGAAACTAAGCAATGTCAGAGAGATAATGAGTCATACACTGTTCTTCCTTAGCAAGGCAGTATAAATTGATGGTGAAACTTCAAAACCGCGTATCTTGGTTTGCAGCTCTGGAGACTTCCTGTCATACTTTACTTTTTAACTGAAGAGCTACTCGACATCAATTTTGAAAAACTTGTGTAATTTTTGGAAAAATTTCAAGAAATTATGTTTATTTGTACTCCTTCAAAAAATAAAATGAGAGTAGAGACTTTTAAACACTAATAACAAGGTACGTGGTTTGAGAATTTCAACGTCGATGTGTGACTGTCCATGGGGAAAAAGACCTTGGTCTGAATTAAGTTTAATTGAGGTAATTAAACCAGAGGATAGAGAGGTTTTTAACAAACATTCAAATATTAATCCTAAGTGGAACTGTGGTGGTTTGTGACATACAGTTCAAATACCATGATTTTGAGAAAAATCTTTTTGAAATTCTGATCTGCTGTACTCAGGGTACAAAATTGCAAGGAATATAAAACAATTTTACCATCTATATTGCCACAAAAATGAGTTAAATTTCTTACAACTTACTGCTTGGGATGCTTACAAGAGTTTTCTTTTGAAAACTCCAAATCTGATTTTTTCATCCAACTAGACAAAACATGCATGTCGCAAAATTTTGCTTTTTGCCTGAGGAAAGTTGTACATTATGATAAAGTTGAGAACAAAAGGACATTAAGAAACAGAAAAAATAGAGTTGAAAATAATGATGAGAGAATTCCAAGGTGGTCCCCAACTTAGAGTATTGTTTCATGTATTGAGATTAATATTCGAAAACTATAAACAATAATTTATCTACATCACAGCCATAGTCAATACTTAAATTAGATGGCAGAGAAAATTCAGTGCACCAAAAATTTGACTTGGTTTTTCAAAAGTCAGAACAACAATGTTTCCAAAGAAAGGAAAAATTGTTCAGCCAAACATGGTAAGATTGGATGGATGGTACTGATTTTGAGTAAAGTGAAACATGAATCACAGTGTAAAATAATATTAAATTTGCCGGAGTTTACAGCTAAAATATGAAAATATTTTGAAAAATAATACACAGCTAGGAACAAATAAACAACTTAGGAGTTATGAGTACGCATGCAACTTAGCTAGATGCTTAGATAAAGAAACTGCTAGTGCAAATCCCCTACCACAGACTTCACACCGGTACTTTTTGTTTTGCTGATGCAAGCGCTCATGTCGTCTATAGGAAGAACTCTCAGCGAAAGCGCGACCGCAAACATTGCAGACAAAAGGTCTCTCTCCTGAGTGAACTCGACGATGATTCTGAACATGTGACTTTGTAAAAAATCGCTTATGACAAACGTCACATTGATACGGTCGATCTGAGGAGTGAATGCGTTTGTGGGAAATTAAGAGTGAATTTGACTCGAAACTTTCCTTGCAAACACTACAAACGTGCTGAGTTTTATGTAGTCCATCATGCCTCTTAAGCTCCTTCATTTCTCTAAATTCTTGTCTTTGGTTGACATCACAAGAGTACCTACTGCTAACTTCATGGGACTCTTGATGGTTGAGAAAAACTTGCTCATTAGAGAAATAAATATTGCAAACTTGACAAACTAGGGGTTGCGGGTTTTTCTCTACAAAATTATTTACGGTTGAGCATGCAGATTTGGAAAACTTTTTTCCACAATTTAGTAAGTCTGCCTGTGTTTGGTGACACTTGTGACTCATTAACAATGTAATGTTGGAGAAATCTCTTAAACACGTCAGACAATGAAACCTTTGATTTGGAGTAAGGAGTTCTGGTTTTGATTTCAAATCCATATTGTCCAGTCTTGAGACAGTCTTTTTGACAGGGAATCTTTTGCTGCCCCACTTCTCTTCCGTATTTGTGGCAGCATCCTTGATTTTCGGTTCGACCACGACCAGTGAGAGAAAATCATTTGAATGAACTTGCGAGTTTTGGGTAAGGTTCTCCATTGAGATATGCGGAGCTTCCAAAGTTGGGTGATCATTTTGAAGAGGCAGTGGCTGCATGATATTACTGACAAATGTAACGTCTGTTGTTTCACAGGACACAGATCTCTCCCTGAAAAATCAAATTGCATGAAATAAAGTTCAATAAAGCGGATAGAGAAAAATGGTTCCGCTTGAATAAATAGTAGGTAGCAGTGAGTAGTTTCTGACTAAATGAATTAATTAAAAGTTGACCTTGAAAAAGCTTTAGAGTTTAAATTGTTGCAAATAAGGATGTAGAATGAAAATTAACACATTGGGACGAGTTTCATTACCCCTTGATAATTGTAATAGCAACAAATGGAGAGCCCCAAGAGGCTCTTGGAAATTGTATCAATCACCGAAGTGCGAAACCTTATACCTCCTTTTATGACAGTGCAGCCTTCTTCTCATACTTAATTTTTTCTTTGGAAAGCTAGCCAATGAAATTCCTAGAAATTTTTTTCCATTTTCTTCTCTATTAGCAGAATATTTTGCATAAAGTTCAATCGGTAAAGTTGGCTTGTTTCTCTTCGGAAAAATAAAATAAGAGCTGAAATTACGAGACGGTTGAGTGACGCTTGTAATCATGCAAAACTAGTGATACTAGAAAATATGAAGGTACTTAAGTACGCTAATTCTTGAATATTAGCAAAATTTTTGAGGTATTTGTACGAAAAATAGGGTATTAGAATTGGCGAGAAGAGACTACTTACCCGACTGGAATCTGAAGCATTCTATCATTTTGCTGTTGAATAACAGTAGATGGCTGAGATGTGTAGATAATCGAGGTTTGTTGAACTGATGGTGTGAACCATTGCGCAACCTCCTGAGGAAAGATGCGCGGGTCTACAATTTGCTGCTCATGCTCCTGCATTTTTACAAGCATTCCAGCATGAAAGATCAATCTAAAACGGCTGAAGATAATTTTGTTCCAGATTAGATATTGGTAGCTTAGGTAGAGGGTGAAATGATCCTAAAAATCTCTAAATTAGGGGTGTACTAACAGAGTTATCAAAGACTGATGAAAGACTTTGTTTATCTTTTCCATACTGATTTCCTTGAGACATCTAAGTCTATAAAATTAGTTTGCTAGTCTTGGTAGAGTCCATGCCAAATAAATTATCGCACTTCTAGACTGCAACAGGAGATCGCTTGGTGTCACTTCTACATAGATGCAAGATGGCAGATTTTCTGTCACAGTCTAGAAGTGCGTAAACGTATTTGACGTAGACACTAGGAGAGAAGAGGGAAGACGATAAACACACCCTTTCCTGAAGGCTCTGCCTGGAGTTTTCGTTAGTGCGTAATATTACTTGGTTGCGTTGGCGTTAGACCATCATTAAGAAACCATTAAATGTAGTTAAGACTTACTTTTGAGCATCCTGCAACAGTTAAAAGTGCTTTAAAGGCACATGGTGGCACAATGAGGACATTTAAACATGGTATGTCACCAAGGTTAAATGCGGTTGAAAAATAAAATAGAATTGTGTCAACATCAAAAGTTATGAGTGCTTCGCTCCAGTTCAAATAATACTTAAAGTTAAAAGCAATACTTTTCTGGGCACATAATTTTTATCACAAAATTTCAACTTAAGATGGGTAAATAAAACTTCAAGCACGACATTGTTTACTTCGAGAGAGGAACAAAGATTATAGCTCTCAGAAAGGAAAATTCCTAAGATTACACTTTCGGAAACAGTTCAGAAACCAGTGATCATAAACTTGGATTTCACCGTTCATTTGGTAGTTATTTTTCCACAAAAATTTTCCTTTTCCAAATTCCACGATTATCATTCAGCATGAACTACTTTTTAAGTTTAAATATGGTTTAAATAAACATCACTGAGATAGCACGAAATGCGACATGGCAACTCAGAACTTTGCAATTTTCCACGTTGCCCTTCCTTGCAGAAAATACTCACCATAAAATCATCCCATTCCGATTGGATCTGTACAGCGACCAGTGTTACCGTTCTGCGTAATTGAGGGCTTTTTTTGCGTAATTGGAGGGTCGCTGCGTAGTGGCTGCGTAATGCGTAATGCTGCGTAATTGGAAGANGGTACACTTAGCTCGTATATCCGGCGGTATCAACTAGGCTGAAGGCGCGTCTTTACCCCCCTAGCTGTCTTACCTTCCCCGCCCAAAGTCGGGCCCAATGCGCGGTCTAGATTGTATTATACGTCAATGCCATAAAATCATCCCATCCCGATTGGATCTGTACAGCGACGAACAATTTTTGAAAGAGGTTAATTTTCCTTTGGACAAATACTTGTAATTATGGCTAATCATCTACTCAGAAAAATCGTAAGTTACCGCTTATTACTCAGTTTTGATTAGCACTCATCGTTTAATCCCGTAGCTTCCCTCAAAAGCCGACCCCTTAGTTGATAAATGCAAGTTTTCTAAGTTGACCTTAACCTCTTTCATCAGGCTTAATCTTGCAGTTTATCGGGATTAATTCTTGCTTATACTGTTTGATCGGCTGCTGTTGCCACAATTTTCATCTTAGTTCATGTTTTCAACGTTCCTGGTTGAATAACACTGTACCAGGATTCAAAATTTTTCATTCCGGCTGCGGTCTTCCAACTTCGATAAGCGTAGCACTGCTCTTGATAGCAGCCCCTCCAGCGAACTGGTTACATACTATTTTACGTGATTACCTTCCTAAAGAGAAGAAGCGTCTTCTGCTTGAGCTGCACGCTCAGCAAATTATGGGTTACTATTGGGACAATCTTTAAGCACAATCAATTTCGCCTCCCATAGAGTAGGAAGGACTATTCCGAGTTTTTGAGAAGGCGAGCCAGTTTGATGGCTGAAATTGACCATGCCGTTCACCACTTAATCAAATTTTTGTGATTGTTGAAAATTATAACTGATTTCTATAGGGTTAACTGAGATTCACCTTTGTCTCTACTAGATCAATCCCTAACCATTTGGAATTTCTTACAACTTGAAACTAGCAGAAGTCTTTACTTAGTATATTTCTGTAGGAAGCACCTGATAGCATGAGTTGACATGAAATTGGTGACACAAAACCAGTTAACGCAATGCTCTAGTCATTGCGGTTGTGCACCTCTAATTTTTCTTTGCCTCTGCTTGGCTCATAGCCTCTTGGCAATAAAATGCAACATTTTTGGAGCAAGCAAAATCAAGTGGCAAATCACACGATTTGTCAATAGGAAGAAAGAACATTGGACAAGGACTTATCAAAGTAGAAATTCGGTAAATACGTGTAATGAATTCACAATAGCACAGAAACATAAAGAAGAGATTTTCATTGTGGATAGTCAATTGAAGGGATGGCCTCTCATATTTTGCCTCTTTTAAGCGAAACAAGTGCAATTTCTATCAAAGTACCCAATTTCTCTTGTGTCCAAGGTGCCGGTTGATTCCCATGTTTTTAAAAGAGTCCTTGAAAATTATCAGTGATCATCATTCTCCTGTATTTATATATCAATGAAGTGCTTGATGATTTTTCTTCTTGTCTTTCGAATACTGAGTATTGGTTCTGACCCCTTTAATTTCAGAACCTCAGTTTACCCCTTTGCCGAAGATACAGTACAGAAGTAAGAAAAGCAACTCTCATTCCTGGAGATGGAATCGGACCAGAAATTTCCGCGGCTGTGCAGAAAATTTTTGAAGCTGCTCATGTAAGTAAAAGAATTTTATTCGTATTCTCTTCATTGAAATCATCAGTGATGCGAGTCCTATTTGGCATGTAGTTCTCAGCAACTCTGAATCCTACTATTGGTATAAACGTGAAGTGTATACCATTGAGACTTACCATAGAGAGGAGGATTTCTAATTTGTGCCTTAAATAAAGAAAAAATTCAATACATCTAATCTATAGTGAAAGAATAGGCTCCTGAATGTGTTATTTCCTAAAACTCCACCTTTCTTGATATCAACTATGCTGGGCAGTAGCTTGATTCGACTGCTGTGGATTTCGGATTCCATCCTACAAAATGAATTCTGCAAGCACCTCGTGTGAATAATGTATCAATCATGAAACCTTCAAAAATTATTTTAGATTCAAATTAGAAGTATTCCCTCCTGTTTAATGAAGCATTGCATTAATAAAAAAGACATCAGCAAGTTGTTACATTCTTAAATGTTTTCGTTATCAATTAAAGGTTCCAATTGAATGGGAATCAGTTGATGTGACACCAGTAAGAGGACCGGATGGCAAATTTGGTATTCCACAATCTGCCATTGACTCAATGAATAAGAACAAGGTAGGTCTAAAAGGACCTCTCATGACACCTGTTGGAAAAGGGCATCGATCTCTCAATTTGGCGCTCAGGAAGTAAGTAACTTTCTCCACTAACTTTCAAACATGCCCATTTTCAGGGCCAGATTCATGATTTCTCCGCCTTCAGCTGACAATAGTTTGTCACTGCTAGACTCCTAAAGTGATTACCTTTCAAAAGCAGAAGAAAAAAGACATCATTTTTGAAATTGACCTCTGCGCTTCCTCACAAGAATGAACATGAAAGAAATTGCACTCTACTTACAATTATTTCAGTGTAATTTATGACCTGGTGAACAGTGGTTCTGTAAAATGCCAATTTTCCAATAAGTTTAGAAGCACTGTGTTTCAGAGCGGAATGAAGTTTTGTCAAACCTACCTTACATGATTTTTTGGACTAGAATGGCTATTTTCAACAGTTCATTTGGTTTGCTGCAAGTTTATTTTTGCTTTTGTCATGAGAAGGGAATTTGAATTTACAATTTCTAATTTAAACAGAACACTTCATTTTTTGCTTTCGTCACTCTCTGCAATTTCTATCGTGATATCATTATTTATCAAGATATTGTAGTGATGAAATGCCTTATAGTTTCTTAATTCTTACTCTATTTAGTGATCCATTTGCTAGTCATTGTGTTGCAATTCAATTTCTTTGCCAAATATTTGATTGCAAAGAATTAAAAAAGACAACTCATCAAGAGGATGAATAAGCTGACATGATCCCACTTTTTGACTTTCAGAGAATTCAACTTGTATGCCAATGTTCGACCATGCCGTTCCTTAGAAGGTTATCCCACTCTTTACACAGACGTTGATGTTGTTACCGTTCGAGAAAACACTGAAGGTGAATACTCAGGTATTGAACATGAGATCGTTGATGGTGTGGTCCAGTCAATCAAATTGATCACCGAGGACGCATCCAAACGGGTCGCAGAGTTTGCTTTCGAGTTTGCAAAGAAAGAAGGAAGAGAGAAGGTCACTGCCGTTCACAAGGCTAATATCATGTAAGCTGTCCGTCCAATCGGTCTCTGTTATGATCTATCTTATTTCATCAAATCCTGGTGGCTAAATGTGTACTTCAGTTGCAACGTTTAAAAATCTCTGATTATAATTTATTTTCCTTTAGGAAAACTTGTCAAAATGTTTCCTTGCAATTTTGTGTGATTTTTTTCAGAACGATTGATGAAAATTCCCAAAAAATTTAAATAGAAACTATTTTTTAATTTTCCGTTTTAAAAAAAAGGAAAAATGGGGACTTACAATGTCACAATTTGAGTAAAGCGTTTTTTGACTGTAGACTTTGATATATTCACAGAATGTATGTATTAAAATTAGTGAAAACACATTGCCAAAGTCATGCGTTTTTTAACACTTTCTATTAAAAGAATTGCAACACTGTTTTACAGTACTTAAAAACAGAAGTATAACCATGTTTAGAAATCTGGAAAGTCACTCATTGAAAACCTACTTAGCATTTATAGTGCTTTTAATTTACTTAGAGCCTTAGCTTGAGAAATTTTTCAGGAATGTTCTCAAGAATAATGAAGCGCAGTCATGTCTGAGAATGTAATGAGAGAAATTCTAAAATTCACCCTTTGATCCAAAGCGTATCAAGTACAGTGAATTAATGTTTGCAACACTTAGATACCTATTATCCATTTTTCGAAAAATTTTCTTGAAAATCATGGTTTTACTTGATTTTTAATTAGAAAATGTTTGGTTTTATTACACAGGAGAATGTCAGATGGTCTTTTCTTGCGATGCTGTCGAGAAGCAGCCGAAAAGTATCCAGAAGTTAAGTTTGAAGAGAAATACTTAGATACTGTATGTTTGAACATGGTACAAGACCCTTCGCGGTTCGATGTTTTAGTTATGCCTAATTTGTACGGAGATATTCTTTCTGATATGTGTGCTGGTTTAGTCGGAGGTCTTGGTCTTACACCCAGTGGAAACATTGGAATCAATGGTGCTCTATTTGAATCCGTGAGTATTCTTTTAACTCTATGTATTGTTCTTTGTATTGTCTACAAGTAAAGTTTGGGTTGGTGTGTGGATTATTAGTACTTGGGAGTTTGTTTAACCCATGATGGAGTCATGAATCAAGTTATCAAGTAGAGAATTACCCTAGGGAGGGAAACCCTAGTGTCAAATGGAATTCTCTTGGATCAGCGAATTTCGAAAGATAACAAGAGGAAAATTTAGATTGTTCATGCAGTTGCATACTTTTTATATTTTAGCAATGTAAGGAAAATACATCGCAGAAAATATTAATTCTGGATTTTGTCAGGTACTTTTGAAACAAGATAATGTCTGCGATCAGATCTTATTTGCATCGCCTTACTTATGCTAAAAGGGTCAAAATCTGAAATCCCTAATTTTTGGGTTGGGGAAGAAAACTGGTTTACCACCTTTCAACTTGAATAAATCCTGGACAGATTCAGTTTGAAGCTGTAAGGCTTTAATAGACAGTAAATTTCTAAAGGCAATGCCTATCCATATGTAGGGATTCATCAGTCCTGAAATCGTTACCGAGCATTGTTTTCAAATGAAAACTTGGCAGGAATGTTCCTTGCGGTAAGAGATGATAAATGGTGGCATGGCCAATTCAGACTGCTATCAATCATAACTGCGACCATTATCCAGATTATGGATGGAATACGGTATTTTAAAAATTTTCTTGAAAATTAAACTCCCTCCAAAAAATAACGAAAAAACAAAATAAATAATTAAAATTATAAATTTACATTATTTTTTCCACACACATATAGAATGATTTTGTGCAAATGCATTGACACAGAAACCTTAAAATTGCCAAAAAATAAACAGCGGTTTTTTTAGCATAGCTTTCACTCATTTTAGAAGCATTACAATAGTGATTATTGCTCTAACTTGATGACATATGATGTATTTTCATTAATCAATGCAAATTGTGATCTGAGCTGTTTCTTCATTGTTTTTGCCAGGTCCACGGGACAGCGCCAGATATTGCAGGTAAAGATGCTGCCAATCCAACTGCCCTTTTACTCTCAGCCGTTATGATGCTGCGGTATCTAGAACTGGGATCTTATGGAGATAAAATCGAGAAGGCATGCTTCGAAGTCATTAAAGAGGGCAAGTTCCGTACCGGTGACCTCGGTGGCAAGGCCAAGTGTTCGGAATTCACGAATGCTATCTGCGAGAAAGTAGCCTAAAGGGCATCGAATGCCTTTATCTAGTTAATATCTTACTAGTTCAATTGACTCAGATCAATTGCTGTTCTTAATCTAATTTCATACTCCACCAACTGAATCATCCATCTATTAGGTTAAAAAATATTTAATTTATTTTAATTTTATTTTTGGGATTTTCTCCCTTTTTTACACCTTCAGTTTTAAATCGAAATTGTTGTGCCCTAGATTTTGTTATGATCAAGACGAGGAAATTCCCGAATTTTATGGGCATGAAAATTCATTATCATAACAGTCTAGCTTCAATTTCCAAAAGTTGCATTTTGATGATGAAACTAGGGAAATGTGTCTCTGAATTATGGTTGTTCTTATTTTATGCTTACATTTTTTTTCTCTTTTTTTTCTTCATAAAAGAATAAACCTAAATTCATTTTTTCTTAAGAAACTTTAAAAAATTATTCTGAGTACAAAGATAGATCACTTAAAATTTTGTGCACATGAATTTTGTTTACTGACGTTTTTTTCATCTCTCAAAGTAAATTAGGTTAAGAAATGTGCAATGCCACATTAAAGTTGAGTTTATTTTTTTAGTTTCATCATCAAATTGTTTAAGCTTCAACTTGATTCGGCTAATCTTCCTCATTTCCTTTTTATTTTCTCTGGATCTTGTTCAAGCTCCAAAGCATCAACTTGAACTGCAGGACTGAGTTCCAGGCACTGGTTTGCTTGAAGGCAACATCAGTAAAAAATGAGAGAAGGTTATCTTTCTCTAACTAAATGCCTCCATGCTAGTGAAGGAAGCAAGTCTTGAAATCCTTTTTTTTTTTTTAAATTTATGTATTTATTTCGTTTCTCTTACCCTCAGTCGGCAGAATCTTCTTTTAAAATACCACCAGTCATTTTAATCTTTTAGTTTTAATTCCCTTATTTTCGTAATTTTTTAAGTTCTACAGACCAGGCACTGTGTGATTTTCATTTCATTAGATTGCTTGAAGAAACCACTTTTAACTGGAAAGCCCAAATGAGTCTCTCAAGTATCAGGCATATGAATTGATACTCCTTTGATAACCATTCTTTTTATTCTCAAAACAGTAACTTCAAGGAATAAGAGCCAAATTCCTCTCAAAAAAGAATTCCTTGGGAGTTAAATGTGTTTTTAGTATACTCAGCAGTATTTTTCCAGTATTGCAATAAAACTGCATCATGCTATTTTTCCCCTGCTATGCTACAAAATTTCACTTAAAGTCAGATATTTGAAGATAATTCGATTTTGCAAGTGAAGTTTGATTTAGTGGAACTCAATTCACTTTCTTGAAAAAATCCTTCAGGTGTTTTTTGGGAACCTAGCTTTAGGAAAACTCATCTAAAAGATTTTTTTGATAAACTTGATAGCCGCGTTCTATTGAATCCAGCCACTCTTGAGGATCCATTTTAATTTGCTTGCTGTTCATAAACCCTCGTTCATCTGTTACTGAATTTAAAGCAGGCGTTATACCAGCACAATTTTGTAGATTGGAAAAGTTACTTCAAATTTTCAGCCCAGCAGAACTGGCAGAGAAGCTGCATCTTTTTTTTCAAGTCTTATGACCCTTCTTTTTAGCTGAAATGGGTGAATGACAAACACTTTTTGTCGGATCGGCACATTAATTTAAAATTTCCAGGGCCATTTCATCATGAAATAGTTAGGGATTGACCCATTTCAGATGCAAGAAGTTTCTTGCTCTTCCAGTGCACTGCAAAATATATAATTTTGGTTTCATCAGTGTATCAAAATATTTGTGTAAATATGTAAAAAAATTTGTTGATGATTTTCAAGAACAGCATCGCATTTTTCAAATGTTGCTGAAATTGTACGAGTTATCTTCCATCTCCATGTGTTGGTTGATTCAACTACTACATTACACTTTTCTTTTCTAGATAATTTAACCAATCTAAGTTTTCGTTTTAGTTTCATTTTGTATACTATTTTAAATCTAGTTTATTAATAATTAGCCTACTGCTAAGTAATTCTGAAGTAAGATTACTCAAATTTTTGGAATGTTTAGTTCTGTTCGCTTGTATGTAGTATCCCATTACAAAGGATGAACACTAATCATTAGAATTTTTGAAACATGAACAAGTGAACTGGGCTGCGCTGTTTTGAAAGTTTGAGTATGACCTTTCTCCAGTTTTTTAAATCGTTCTCTAAATCTTAAAAAAGACAAATACCTGTCAACTGCAAGTGATTTTATAGATAATAGTTTAAAAAAAATTTCATAACTTACTAAACTGATGTGTATGACAAAGTGCTTTCATGGAGCAACTGTAACAAAAGCTTTCATTTTGGGAAAGATATCTTCATCAATGTAATCTTAATTTTAAGAGAAAGTGAAGTCTTGGAACCTTGAATCCATTAACTGCTGAGGATTAATTTTAATAAGGAGAAGTTTTATTCGTGCTATTTTCATGTCTCTCTCCCAGTACCTTCATTATTTTGCCGTGAAAACAGTTTCTCTTTGCAAGAAAGAAATTTCATAAGTAATAATATTTAATTTTTTTTTTTTGTTTACTAACATGGAGTTCATCGTTAGAACACTGACTTTTACATTATTATCAACGGCACAACCTTGACGCTGCTCGATGTAATCTTTTTCTTGAACTTTTTGCTGCACCTACTCTCTACTTTCATTTTGGTAGCACAGAGAAACAAAGTTTCCCACGAATGTCATAGTGATTATGGCAGCTCTGCGTTTTAGTAGCTTTTTTCTGTTCAAACAGCTGTTAACTCAGCTCTCCTCTCTCTCTTGGGATTTAGCTTATAACAAATTTTAATTTTCACTTTTACCTCTGTCTTCAGTTTCAATATCTGCTCTCATTGCTTAACCTAAACTGGATAAAAGCCTATGTCTCTCTTGGAATCATTGTCTCAACAGTATTTTATTTACTTATCTACTGTAGCACTCTCTCTCTCTGTCCTGTTTCAAACTACTTATTTGTATAATGTAAATCGCATCATGCATAGCAAATCAGCATCATGACATTCGGCTCTCTGTGAAGTGACAGAAATCTGTCATCTATGCTCTACATCTTTTTTTGCATAAATTTACCCCCCAACCTGTTCATTTCGATGAACTACATCTATCTGGGACCTTTGTTGACAATAACCATTGGTATTCGTTTTCTCTGTCAAATTTAGCGAGCTTCTCTCACGTTAGAATTAGTACTAACCTTGAACATAGTGACCTAGTCTTTGTAACTTCTCTGCGGATGTCAAAATAACAGTGAATCTGTTCATTTCTCTCAAACTGTTTTCTAGGCTTGCTCACATCACGTATTTTGAAGTGTGATTACAGTGTGAATTTTACTTAAGTGATGAGAGACAGTAACTTACGTTTTGATAGCAGCTTCAAAGGAACTCTCCTTGATATCCATCAGCAAACTAATGGAAAATACTTTATTTTTAAGAGTGCCCTCAGCTTCACTTGATACTCAGGCTTTAGCGGAAGGATGATCTTGTGAAGTTTAAGTATTAGTTTATTAATCTAGTTTTTCCTTTCTCCTGTGACTTTATTTGATTTAACGAAATTCAGACATAATTTTCTCTCCTTAACTAACTTTCGATCGTAGTCAAAACATTGCCTAGGGGTGGATTTTAACAGATGCTACGTCAGCTGCAGTCCATCATATAAAATTCATAATTTTTCAGTCCATGGACTGCAGTTTGCCAAGTCTGTACCCGGTAACTTCTATTGTGTGTGATTAATTTTACCCCATTTTCTCGTCATTAAAAGTATGTAAAAGTAGATCAAGCAAAGGTGCTTTGTATAATCTATCATTATTTTGTTTTGTGATAAAATACCTATGCAGCATCAATTCTTGAATTGGTGTTAACAGACTTTGTGATTGTGTACGATCTTGTCAATTTGCCAAAATGTTTCCGATAAAGGAAGGTGTAATATGTTGGTTTTGATGGTTCCTCTAGGTTTACGTTCATTGAAAGAAGAGACCCTATCCTTAACAGTGGAACATTGCTTGTTGAGGCTTGGTGTAAAAGAGAGATTAGGTTTATTTGAACTAACATCGAAGATAGCTTGAGTTGGATTAAATAACCTGATCTCCTTTTTGGCATTCATTGTTAGGTTCCAAGTGTAAAGAATAACTAAAACACACCTGATCAGGCCTTCAGAAATTATGATTAGAGGGTTGTTGAGATATAAGGTTTGAAGAGTCAAAATTACGTTCAAGATTTTGTTATATTGAGAAAAAAGCTGAGAATGGTACTAAAATCTATTCTAACGTAAGAAATATTGGTTGCTAGGTTCTCATTCTCCAAAATTGTTTACCAGAAATGACAGATTCAAATTCATGTTTAGCTCTCTTTAGGCAGGAATCCAGTACCAATTGATCACTATTTTGTCATTCTTTGTACATCCTTTTTCTCTATCTTATGTTTTACGAAGTTTTTTGTATCCTTTTTTCTGCATGGTTGACATAGTTTTCCTTGTCATTTGCAACCAACTTTTTCGATACTTATGTAATTAAATAACAAATGTATTCGCCAAACACAAGAATGACATGAAATGTTTACTTAAAAATAATTCACTCAGAACTTCTCAATCATGTTTAACAGTAAACATAGTCTAAGTAATGTTAGCTCCTAACTATCACTCAGTTAGAAATTAGACTATTGTATTTTCTCATCACATCTGAATGAAGCCAAAGACCGTTAGATTAAGTTGATCAAGTGGTGCATTTCATGTGATGCAGATGTCAATGGCGTTTGTCCACTTTTCTGCACATTGAAGGCTCCTGATAAATGAATAGTTGCAGCTATTTTCCATGAGTCAAGATTTTAGTATTAATAATTAAGTGAAGTTGAGGTTCATGATGGCATCAGTTTTGAATATAATATTACAGGTGAACCATTTATGAACAAATGATAGAACTCTTGTCATTCATCAACCGGTGTAGAATTTTCTTCACATTGTTTTTATTAGTTCTTATTTGATCTTTGCCTGGAACATGGCGAGATATTCAGGGGAGTTATTTGATCGCCAACAATCTCAGTCCCACTTTGTAAAGCAAATAACATGGAGATTTCAGCAGGCTGCTGTGAGAACTTTGCTGAACTCTGCCCGGTATGCCTTGATGATTTATTGAATATTTTGCATCAATGACTCCACCGAATAATTTTTTTGTGTATTCTTTATCATTTGTGCTAGCTAATTCTTCATCAGATCTTAAAATTAAGTTGCTGTAATTTTTTTGAAGCTCTATTCCTAATTTTGTATGCATCGGTCATTGTAGATGCAAATAAGTCATGAAGTTTTATTATCGATCCATGCACATTGAAAGTATCATCAGTGCCACTTGGTTTTTACTATTGAATCTGTTGTAAAAATGCGTCCTTGAATAGAAATTGAAAATAAAAAAGATTGAAATGTTGAAGTTAACACGGTTTTGTCACATCTTTGCTTTTCACCAGCCTCACCTTTGCCAGCATAGAGTTTTTTTCTATTTTTCATTTATTATTATGCATATTGTCTTCAGTGAGTTAATAGCTAAATTGTGTTTGTCGATTGGAGAAGGTGAAGTAAAATGACGTGATTGGTCAGCTTTGTCGTATTTTGGCCACTTCTCTCTTTATCAGACCTGATAATTGACAAGATAACCCTCTTCGGTAATCGACAACCAGTTGGTCAATTATTCAATCTGAAGAAGACAAGACAAAAAAAGCACAGGACCAAGAAAGAACAAAGCCAACCAATCACTAGGTTGCACTTTAGTCTTGTCTAGTCCAGCCGACAAATACAAAATTTCAATAATTGCAGTGCAGCCATTAATGGGGTTGTAAACAAAGTATTAGTTTAAGGCCTAATTACCTTGATAAATATTAGTATTCAACTGAAGAAGAATTCAAGCTCCAGTCTACGTAGGTACTTAAGGTGATTCGACGGACACCATTTTTTGTGCCAGCGACGTGCGATATATCGCATCAATTCGTTCCATAATTTAAGCTACTTGTCATTTTCTTCAAATTTTGAGATTGCACTTCTGTTGTCATGAGACTAAAGAATTCATGTACCTTTGACAAAAAAATTCAACGGAATTAAGGCGTGGTTTTTTTAGAGGAAAAATGTCGCATTTGAAACTGCACTCGAACGCGATATTTTTCCTCTGAAAATACCACGCCTTCATTACGTTGAATTTCTTTGTCAAATTTGGTACATGAATTCTTCAGTCTCATGACAATAGAAGTGCGATCTCAAAATTCGAAAAAATGACAAGGAGCTGAAATTATAGAACAAATCAATGCGATAGATCACATGTCGCTATGACACAAAAAATGGCGTCCCTTCGAATCACTTTAAGAGGTGCTTCATTTTCTCAAATTGCAGGGAGAGGTTACAGTGACTTTGAATTTAATGATTTTGATTCCACATGAAAACTTGTGTAAAATTTAAGTTTCAAAGCTCAAACATTATTGCCAATAAGGCTTCGGGAAACCACTTTAAAATCCCACATGTCAGACGGAGACCAGCATGTAATAAGTCATTCCATGTTAATGTCTTGATACTGGTTCTGTACCACATAATCGGTTGATGACTTTGTGGCTAGAGCGCTGAGCTACTGTTATGGAGGTCATAAGTTTGATTCCTGCTTCAACGTACTTTTAACAACTGCAAGAATTACATGTCTTTATTTCTCTCCCCTTCCTTTCATTCTATGAAAAACTAGTGACTTGGCCTTTATACTTTTTATATTTATGCCATGCTTAAGTTAACTATAAACTATACTTATCAGCCATAGTATTGAAGCATAATCAACGGAAGACAAGTCAAATAAAAGTCTCCATCTGAAATAAAGGACTTCCCAACTTAATTTTCTGGGTGCCAAAAAATAAAAAAAAATAGAAAATAGAAGTGAGATTAAGAAAAATTTTGCATATTATTTTGGGATATTACACAGGGGGAGGTAGAGAGACATGATTAATATTGATCAGGTGAGTTAAGAGAAAAATCTGAGAGAAATTTACAAAAAAATACTGTTTTTTGATACAGTGATCAACTGGATCCATCAGAATTCAAAATTTTTAAGTATTTGCCACGGGTCATTTCCTTTGCCTCTTCAATTCCTAGATTATATGCAATTTCATGTAACTTCTTCAACTCAGCATCCATAGCATCTTTGGAAAGGGAACTGTAGTCTGGAAAAGAAAAAGAGGGAAAAAATTAAATCTTGATGAATCTCTAGGACACCTCACCTTCAACACACAGGTTATAAGAGCATCAAATAAAATAGGGCCTAATTTAAAGCCTTGTTCAGGGTGAAATGAAATAAATGAAAATGCTTTGGAACCACAAATTGGAACAAAATGTATTAAGCTCCGGACACATGTTAAAAGTGAAGCTTCTAAGTGATGGCTGTTCAGTCGAATGTTGCGCATCCATGCCGCGAAGGAGAAAGGCTCCTTGGAAGGTAATTGATAGGAACACTTGGCTGAACATCCACCACTTTGGAGCTTCTTTTGAAAGTCTGACTAAGGCTCAAGTTAAATCAATCGGTTTTTGTCAGACGCGCATGAGTCCCAAAACTCAAGAGCCCTGGCTTTCCTTGATCACGCAGTATGCTAGGACTCATGATTTTTTGGACGTACTGCAGTTTAACAGAGACCAATTCTAATATCGACGGTGTAAGTCCGCAACCACATATCAACCACGACGTTGCAGACTTCCTGTCAAACTTCGTTTTTTAAGCAGAAAACAACTCAACGGCAATTCTTTAAAACTGCCGTGATTTTTCTTCTCTGCGCCAAGAAAATTCTGCAGAAACTTCAAGGAATGATATCAATTTTTTCTCCTTTTCAAAATTTTACTGAAAGCTTAAATTACTTACAACACAGCAATGACTGTTCTTCTTGAGTAAAGGGTTGATTCCAATTTTTCTGGACGTTTTGCGGGATTGTGTTCTCTCTCGCAAACGCAGTGACGCCAGGAACTGAAAAATTGAATTAATTGATGATAGGATGTATCTTCTAAGGCTTAGAACAATCATTTAATGGTAATTTTTTAGGTCTCTTAGGGCCTTAATAGCACTACCTATCCTGCAAGGCTACTTGGTTAAAATAAGGAATATCAATGGCTAGAGTAAAAAATTTGCGCATGCCTTTGCAGCGTTGCAAAGTGCTGCTCATGTTTTAAATTTTTAGAAGAATTTTTAGAACTGATCATCAGTTTTTCTGGAAATTCATTGCAAATTGTCATCATTCAAAAATATTCGCTAGGATTTTCAAAAAGATATTTAAGTTCTTATCCTTTTAGAAAAGTAAAAGATAGTAATACATTTTCATACTTAAGTGATGAAAATAGGCATTTTTCGACTTCAGTCATCGATACATTAAGTATTTTGTACCCATTGACACATGCGTGTGATACATCTTGGCATTGTTAAATACAACATATCACTATGAGAGAGGCTGGGAAACTAAAAGGAGGTAAAGATTACAAGTTCGAGAAGCGCTTTTGTCTTGACAACAGCTTGTGTAAAAAATCCGAAGTTGAAATTGAAAGACTCCTTTGAAAGTTTTCCACTTCTTGAGTACACTTGGCTATACTCCAGATATAAATGCATTGTGATTAATGACTAGTGCAAAGTTGCTCACAACTTTGTGCATTTGTTCAAAAATTTTTGAGAGGGGTTTTGTCTCCTCTTACAGAACTGTGGAGTATTAAATTGTTTCTTATTGCTTCCTCAGAGTCGAAGTACTAATTCTAATCAAATCTGGGGTATTTTCCAGCAACATGAAATGCAGACTCGGGAGTGGTATCACTCCCGAGTGACATATGTTTAGTATTGGTACATCACTCTGTAACGCTAATAGCACTGATTGTCTGCGGTACTTACTCTGCTCTGGCCAAAGCTCAGGCGACGTTCTGTCCAGCTTTTCCAGGCTTAATAGTTCATCAACATCAGACATAGTAGAATGCCTAAAACAAAGAGTAAAAAAAACTTAGAATCAGATTTCACTGAGAGGCAAACTCGGGATCAGAGACATTGATTTCATGAATGAAACATGCGGAACAAAAACTAGATAGAGAAGAGAGAGGTTGTACAAAACAAGTTTATGACACTGAGTAGTATAAATGGATAGAATTCTAGAATACGATAAAAATAAAAGCTAAATTTTAAACCGAATATTACCTTCACAAGCATTTACTGGTTGCCTTCCCAAAGAACAAATGGTTTAAAATTATCACTAACTCTCATTCGGCATCGTTAGGAACTCTGAGCCAAAACAAAACCAGCAAAACATAACCGCAAAACCAAACACAGATGCTTGATGCGAAGGCGCGATTAGTGTTGCATGAATGAATGCATCAAATGATCTGATTGGCTGGTTCTAATTTATTTTGAGCGGTAATATATGAATGAGCCAATTAGGACCGAGATGAAGAACTGTTTTGTTTACGGTCGATTATCTTCTGTGGCGGGCATGGTCTTCACTCTTCAGCTTCAGCTCTCACACGATAAATTTTGTAGTGAACTTCTCAAATTCTTAGTAGTCAGCGATTTCAACCGTATCTTAAATCCTTTGAAGTGTTTTATCCTAGTAATTCGCATCGTCGTTTGAAGTCAGATTACACCAAGGCGTTATCTGTTAATACTGTGTTCCATGAGAGCCCCTAAATATGGCCTGACAGCAAACTCAATCTCCTAGGTTCTGATTTTCTTCCCAATCGTTTTGTGTTTTAAGTGCTCGTGAATAAAACTGATGCTAATCCTTCTCTTCACTTCCGCACCTATGAGACGTTTGTAAAAAAAAGTCGTGTGTGAGTAATGCAAGGTCATAGTGGAGACCATCATTATTTCAGCCTCCACTTTGGTACCTTTGGAGGTGAGTGTACTAAGTTTTGACTCCTGTAACATTACTGTATACTGTAGGTGTATCAGCTTTTGTCTCATTATGTCTCCAAGACCATCAGCACCCAGTAAATTGACAGCGTAAGTCTGCAACCACGTATCTCGTTTGCGGTATTTGAAAATCTCGGCTTGCATATTATTTTTTAAAGGAGAGCATATTGACATCCTTCCTGGAAGTTTTTGCAGAATTTTCTTTGCACAGAGAAGAAAAATCACGGCAGCTTTAAAGGATTGCCGTAAGGAGTTTCCCGTTTAAAAGATGAAGTATGACAGGAAGTCTGCAAGGTCGCCAACCGAGATACCTACGTGGTTGCGGACTTACACCGTCGTAATAGTGGACTGCAATTAAAAGCTGCAAAGGTCCCCAAGAGGTAATATCAACAATTATTGTGGATTTGAGTTTTCTCTTGAGATGACACCACTAATCATCCCTTTCGGGTGCTACATACTTGATATTTACTGAAGCGATCCAGAGTCATGGTAATGATTATGAAGAAGTCAATTGCAAACTCACGTGCAGATCAAAGTTTGTCATAAGTATTCTTTGAAAAATCTGATTGCATGTATTAATCTGTAAAGTGGTGCTGATTCAGTATTATTCTGATCAGAGATAGACAGTTGGCATTTGTCTGAATATACTATGAGTGAACTAGGCATAGAATAAGGTGCACTATTATAAATTAAAGCTATTATTCTTACAATCAATTAATTCTGCACCAAGTTTGAATGGAATTTTTTAAACTCATTTTCTCATGATAGTAAACAAGAGAATAGAAACCCTGTGACATGTTTGTTGAAACCTAAATTTTGTCCTTCTCTTGCCTTACCTATCGTTGCAATAAAACCATCAAACCATGTTCTTTTTTACTTACCACTTCTCTGTTTTTAGATGGATGACAGTGAATGTTACAAATCTCCTGTGGTGAATCATGATGTCTCATTGAACCTAGAAGGCATACAAAATACAATCCTTGAAGACAGGTCGAGTCCCATAGTTGCCAGTAGCCAGCCTTTCTACACCAGTACAGATAAGAGAAAAAAGACTGCCCATGCAAACAGCAATTCACTACTGGATAGGACAGCTGAGTTTCTCACCTGCTCAGACTCGAGCAAAACTTGGAATGAGTCAACACCATCCCGGGAGTCAAATGTTTCTGCAGATCTCGATGCTGGGTAAAATATTTTGCTACCTCAAAGTAGAACCTGTTTTATCTTTCCACATTTTTAAGTCTTGAAAATAAGTTCGGTGAATTAAATTATACTGTACTAAGGATCATCATAATCAAAGATTCATGAAATTGATTTAAACTAGGTATCATCCTTTCTTTCCAGGAGATTCATCTAATTTTTAGTGGAAAAGGAGAAAGTGAACAAATTTTTTTTACTTACTTAAACACCTCATGAGTTAAGTCTTAATGCCACCAATAAAATGGCACTTATTGTTCAAATATTTATAATTTTTGTTTTCAACCGAAGTAAGAGGCCATTCAAGTACTGTGCAATGTACTCCTGATTTTTTTCTACCTGTCTTTACTTTAAGCAAGGCCCATTTTCTCTCTTCCATCGTCCTTTCGCAGCATCAGTAAGGCAACCCTAATAGCTTCCCCCCCTGGTTGTGCCATACAATACTTCAGCAGCCTTAAGATTAATGTATGAGCATATCCTGAAGATGTAATTTCTTCTCTTTTTCTTTCCTTTTTTTTTGCAGTAAAGTAGGTAATTTTTATTTTTTCCAGTTTTAGCCCCATTCGATCAAATGAGCAGACTATTCCAACATCTTTAGAGCAGCTTATAGATCCTCACAATCTTGAGTGGACGTCGTCATTGGCCTCTCCTGTTTGTCAGAGGACCTCAGAGTCTGTACTGAAAACTGCCGAAAAACAAGTGTTTTGTCCGAGCAACAACTCCAGATTTGTTGTCAGCACCAATTCCTCTGTAAGTAAAGTCACTGTTAAAGAGACAGTTCAGTTTCAAAGGTGTCATACTGTGGAATATTACTCTCATTGTATTGAAAACATGCGTTTAAAAATTTTTTAGAATAATGACCAAGGAAAGGCATCCGTTAGCTCCAGTGACTTCGAAGAGTTTTTTGTCAAACAAGCCATTTAACTCTTTTGATTGTATCTTTTTATCCGACATGAGTTACTCTCAAAATGCATCGGCAAAGCGTAAATCATTGACCATTTGAAGCTGCGAAGAAGAGTCAATTACCTATTTGGGTATTTGTTATGAACACCCTAATAGTTAATCTTTTTCCATAAGTTTAAATGGCAGATTAATCGACTCATTGACACGCATGCCACAAAGAAACAGAACTAAATGTTGACATAAACTGCCAATTGAAGGCCGCAAAACAAAACTGAGCTATCTTAATTGGGCCTTTATTAAAAAAGTCTACTAGCTGATTGTTGATATCAATAGACAAAACGATAGACAAAGAAGACATAAGGAGTATAGAGTGATCCTATTGCTTGAAATGGGTGGTTCTTATAGACTAAGGGAGTAAATGATGGACTAACTAATGGGTCTTCCGTCAGTTGTGGGGTTGCGTGGGTTAGTTAGTCTATTACCTATGTCCTTTGTCCATTGCAACCATCCGCTTCCACCAATAGGATCCTTCCATATCCTTTTTGTCTTCTTTGTCCATAGCTTTGTCTATCAATTTTAACAATCAGTCCGTTGGATGGTTTCCTTGGGCTGAAAGAGAGGCTTCTCTTCCAAATTTTGCAGGAAGATCTGCTAGACCGTCCAGCTGGCTCTCATACAAACTAATAATTTAATGGTGTAAATAGAATTTTAGCATTTACAGACAAAGAGTAGAACTTACCAATAATTGACATTGTTTACAACTATATTCATAGTGGCTAGAAGTTGAAATTGACATAATTCACAACAATATTTACGCTGGTGAGAGGTTTGCAATGACCGGGGCCAAAAGAGAATTTTGTTTTTTCCAATAACTCAGCGCAACTGAAGCGCTAGAACTGTCAAACTATCATTTTTTCCTTTTTAAATCATTATTTCTCAGTGAAAACTTTTTTTCGTAATATGTTGCTATAAAATGTTTCTGTTACAGAGATATATAGATAAGAAGGTAAAGGAGAATATATACTGTCAGTTCGCTCATTTTTACCCCTTAAAAGTCGTTTTCCCTTCATTTAAATTTTTTACATAATTTTTATTTCCCAAAGCTTTTTTAATGTTCCAAGTTTTTAGAAAATTTCAGAAGTTCTATAAAGCTGTAATTTCTCAATTTCAATTTTTTAACATTTTTCAATAATTTTGATGAAAAAATATTTTAAGTCAATGAATGATTTTAATGATGGAATGACAATTAAATCCAGCTGAACAAGCGCTCATTAAACACTTTTTCAAAGTTTGCTCCGAAGTAAAAATTATTAAATTTCAAAAATCACTCTTCTTATCATTTTTAAAATACATTCTCGATGAAGATTCCTCATTTAAATAAAACTAATTTTTTTGCAGAGAGCTTGTGAGTCAGACTCGACCCTCAACGAGTCCAAAAAATCTGAATCATTTCTTTCAAAATCTGACGCCATTTTTAGAAGCAATGACAGTATTCTCCCGCCCAACAGAACTCTCAACTCCGAAGAAAATCATCTGAAGAAGCATTCATCTCTGTTTGAGAGGACATCTCAGATGTATATCAATCAAGACGATCGCAATACTGAAATTTTTGAAACTAGTCTATTTCCAAACATTGATCTAACTCAAGACCCAATGAACTCCGACGAAAATTCAACCTCTCCTGTTCTTACGCAGAGTAAAAAAAAAACCACAGCAAGTAGTAAAAAAAGTTATCGCAAGGAAGACATCAAGAATAAAGTTGCCTCAAATGTCGTTAAATGCTTGTTCAAGCAAACAACAACAGAATCAAAGGAGGAAAAAATTGAAGAAGAGAAACCGGTTGTTGAAGAGAAACCGGCTGCTGAAGATAAACCGGCTGCTGAAGATAAACCGGCTGCTGAAGACAAACCAGCTGCTGAAGATAAACCGGCTGCTGAAGATAAACCGGCTGCTGAAGACAAACCGGCTGCTGAAGATAAACCGGCTGCTGAAGATAAACCAGCTGCTGAAGACAAACCGACTGCTGAAGATATCTGTTTAGCTTCGAAAAGTAATTTTTCACAATTTTGTCAGTACAGCACTCAAGATTTCTCAATCAATACAGTCGACCAGATTTGTTTTGCAACAGAGATCATTGACTCACCGCTTTCTCCTGAGCTGTGTGTCTCTCAAGGTAGAAATAAAAATCAAATTAAACCCTCTTGGTGCTCGCAGAAAATTTTTAATCAATCAATTATTGATGCCATTGAAAATCTTGACTCATCGCAAAAAGGAGAGAGTTCATATTCAAAAAGTGATGAATTTCTAGTCCCATCAATTCCAGCAGTAATTTCTAGTAAAGCCAAAGTGAGTGATGATTTAAATCTGGAAATGATGAAAGCGAACGCCGTGTCAACAAAATCAAAATTGAAGAAACTTATTTATCTTATTAATGATGGTCCCTGCACTCAAAGATTAGATATCAATACTTGCTCAGACATGATTCTAAAGAATGCATTTGTTTTTGAAGAAGACCCTTCGTGTGTAAAAAGTGGAATATTATCTCAAAAGTCTCAAAAGATAAATAATCCGGGAGGATTTGTCCCGTTCTCAAATTTCGTTGACTCATCAAGCAAATCTTGTAGAATACTGACCAATTGCGTTTCCAAAGCTTCCCAAAAAATTTTACCTGGAAGTACTTTTAAGAGCCCCAGTAATGAGATAAGTCCGTATTTGTTAAAGAATTTAGAACATAACAAGGAAGATCTCTCTGCTTTTGAGAGTAGTGCAATGAATGAATCAAAGGCTGGTTTAAATCTATACTCAGTAAGTGACACCCAGATGTTTCGTATTGGGGAACTGATAGACAATGCAAACTTGATCACCAGTTCCTCCATCTTGTCGACTGATCCTGTTGAAGACAGAAATAGATCTGTATCAAAACAATCAAACGTTAATGCAGAAGAAACCAATCCATCGCCAGCTAGTTCGGATCCGTGCAATTATTTTGAAAGAGATTCAGTTGTCACGCAAGTTCAGCAAGCAAAACCTTCAAACAGTGTTTTAAGTCCTCCCTTGTTCCATAACTCGGCTAGTTCTTCCAATTCCTATCTAAACGACAGCTCTAACAGTGTACATAATGCTTCATTTTTAAATCAAACCATAATTGGAGATCAAGACTCCTTCAATGTCTGTGATAATGTACATGAAACCACGAAAACTACAGATGATTTTACCATCTCTGAAAAGAGTGAACCAGTCACAAATTACGTAAATGATTCCAATTATAATTACAGAGATGAAAGACTTTATGACCCAAATATAAGTAAAAAAAAACTTTTGGAGTCAGGATACTCCCCATGCAAAGATGTTTCATCCCCTTGTAAGTCAGATGCAAGTTTCCAAAAGCAGCAGTTAGTGCATCGTGATTTTTCAACTGCTAGTGGAAAACAAGTGACTGTTTCAGAGAAAGCTTTGAAGCAAGCCCAACAAATTTTTGAAGACTGTGATAGTACTAAAATGTCAGAATCAACTACTGCATCGCATAAGAAAGTTGCTTGTCAAAGAACTCCCGAGCAATTTCAACAGGAGTCTGAAAATCGTTATACTTCCACAAAACATGTTTCCTCCGTAGAAGTTGATATTGACAGTAGAGAAACTTTTCAAAATTTAACACATCAAAGAAATGATATAAATGAAAAACAAGGAACTGAAAGTTTCCCTTCAGAAGCATTTCACCGCAGTAGTAAGACTCTAAAAATTTCAGGTTTGGGAAATGTACAAAGTGAGACACTGTGCGCAGAATCTGACGAAAGTGCACCCTCCAGACCAATTCCAGCTCTTGGATTCTCCACCGCCAGCGGCAAGAAAGTTGTTGTCTCAGAGGCGGCCCTAAGGAAAGCACAAGAAAAGCTATACATGGACGATGAAAGTACTTTCTCGTCCGCCTCCATCGTAGATCCTCTCACAGCCTGCCAGAAAGAAATCTTAGTTTCGAAAAATGCTCTCAATAGATCTCAATATTTGCACCATACTGTTGGTGAGGAATGTATGCCAGTCAGATCGACTGGGCCTTGTGAATTCTCTACAGCCAGCGGAAAAAAAGTTTCAATCTCAGAAGTTGCTCTGAAGAAAGCGAGACAATTCTTCAATGACTGTGATAATAACACACCAGTCAGATCAGCTTCCTCAGCTGCATTCTCCACAGCTAGTGGTAAAAAAGTATATGTTTCACAAGATGACCTTAATAAAGCAAGAGAAAAACTTGATACTTGTGATGATCCATCTCCTGTTGTGGAAAATCCTGCAACCAAAAATATGAGTGATTTCGTTCAAGAGAGTGTTCTCAGCAGAACACATTTGCAGTCAAATACTTCTCATAAAGCAGTGTCAGCACTAGGTTTCTCTACTGCAAGTGGTAAGAAAGTTCCTGTTTCTGAAGATGCCTTAAGTAAAGCACGGCAGTTGCTCGAAACCGATGATGATATTACGCCGGTGAGACCAAACTCTGCTGTTGGATTTTCAACTGCAAGTGGTAAGAAAGTTCCCGTCTCTGAAGATGCCTTACGTAAAGCACGGCAGTTGTTCGAAAGTGACAAAAGTACACCAATATCGTCTACTTCTTTGATGGGCTTCTCTACTGCAAGTGGTAAGAAAGTTCCCGTCTCTGAAGATTCCTTAAGTAAAGCACGGCAGTTGCTCGAAACCTGTGATAATATCACACCAGTGAAACCAAACTCTGTTGTTGGATTTTCAACTGCAAGTGGTAGGAAAGTTCCCGTCTCTGAAGATGCCTTACGTAAAGCACGGCAGTTGTTCGAAAGTGACAAAAGTACACCAATATCGTCTACTTCTTTGATGGGCTTCTCCACTGCAAGTGGTAAGAAAGTTCCTGTTTCTGAAGATGCCTTAAGTAAAGCACGGCAGTTATTCGAAACCTGTGATGATATTACGCCGGTGAGACCAAACTCTGCTGTTGGATTTTCAACTGCAAGTGGTAGGAAAGTTCCTGTTTCTGAAGATTCCTTAAGTAAAGCACGGCAGTTGTTCGAAAGTGACAAAAGTACACCAATTACGCCAAATTCTTTGATGGGCTTCTCTACTGCTAGTGGTAAAAAGGTGTCTGTATCGGATGACGCTGTGCTCAAAGCCAAATTGTTTCTGGATTCCACTGATTATAGCAGCTCATATACATCTATCCCTCCCATGAAATTTTCTGTAACTGGTGGAAAAGAAATAGTTGCTTCCAGCATCGAAAAACAGGTTGCCTCTAACAAACCTGAACGATCATTTGGATGTGCCAAAAAGAACTTGAATAATCGGAATTCTTTACTGTACCATGATTCCTTGTCTCGTCGAGAAGATACTGAGCAGACCCCTCACAAACGATGCAAAATTGATCAAAATTTTGATAGAACTGAACCATTTATTAAAAACACCAAGAGTACATCTGGTACCTTTGTAAAATCTAATTTTAGAGGAATGGAAGGAAAATTCAAAGAATGTTTGAGTGAAGCAGAAAACAAGAAGCAAACTCCTATGAAAAGGAATTTTGCTTTGAAAGATTCCAGTAATTCTTATCAATCACTAAACATGTCAAATGTGTCGCCAAGTATCGCACGAGAAGTTTCAGAAAGTGCTGCTGCTCTAATGAATGATGAAGAGAACTCTGAGTCAGGCACAGATTGGTCATCATCTATTGTCAAATCTGCGAATGTATCTAATCAAGTTTCCTGCTTTGAATCCTTTTTTTCCTGTGAAAATGATGATGACGATGGATCAACTTCCCCTATCCTTATATCAGAACACAGTAAAAGACGGAAACGAACAAAACGATTGGATGCCGCAAAACAAAAAACCCTCTCTTCAATGGGAATGTCTCCCTCCATACCTTCAGGCTCCTCTCCATTCCTAACACCTGGTAGCTCTGGAGTCCGTCAAATTGTGGCAGATGTGCCAAGAAGTTTGCTGTTCAAGAAGGGAGTACAGTGTTATAGTACTCCGAAAATGGATGGACCAAGGAAACGAGAAAGAGAAACTGATGTCTGTGCACCTTTTAATAAACGTCTGAAAGAATGTGGCGAGCCGAGAGAAGATTCTTGTGAGAAAAGAGTGCTTGATGCCCGATTGAAAGCAGCGGAAGAGCAAGAGAAAGTTATCAGGATCAGGAAGAAAGTGAAAGTACCTCAAGAAATAGGAAGCTATTTAAGGAAGAAGATGACTGAAAAACGAATATTATTAAGACATGCAGTTTTACAACAGCAGCCAAAGATATTTTCTAAAGAAGACGTAAGTTCTCATTTTCTTCTTTTTAAAGTTGTAAAATTTTATCAGTATTTGTTCGCTTCCCTTTTTAAAATGGATCAGCATACTCGTTGCATGGCATTACGTTATGAATTCTCAGTAAGATCCAACGTTGCAAAATTACTAATGATAACTAGACTTTTGAAACCCAGAGAAACAGCATCATTGCAGTATTAAGCAAATTACATAAAACAATCATTCTTCCTCACTGAATTAGACTCATCTTACACAGACGTCCATGTGAAATTTCGTAGAAGTGATGAACTCCTTAACTGCTGCCGTTTCACCCTATTTTCGTAGTGGATGTGGATTGGCACAAAAATTTCAAGACCATAGAAAAAGGCAACCTGCATGTTAAAATGTAATTTATTTGTCAGAGAATTATGTTGCTTGTGTACTCTTTAAATGTAGGTAGTGAAATTAATACGAGTAACTGACCATTTAAATTATTTATAGAATGAGTCGAGGATCATTGAGATTTGGATTTCTGAGTGATATATAATCTTTCTTTAAGGTTTTGTCAAAAAATGTTGAGTCTTAAATTAAGCTCACGATGTAAGCAGGAGAGAAAATAAGCCCTGTCACTGCTTGTTAGTACTAACACGAAGAAGGAGCCCTCTGTTTCAATTATTTTTTAACATTTAGCACAACTTTTTAATGACTTAATATTCACATGATGGGGGGGGGGGGGGGCAGAGTAAATTGTCTATTATGAACTTCAAACTATGCAAACTGGGTGACCCTTTTCATTAGTTTGATAATTGATGTTTACAATTTTGCAAATAAAACCTTTAACACGTGGATTCATTTTCCCCTCTCTAGTTACAACTTCATGGTGTTACTGAGAATGTTATGCAAGTCACAGCTGAAAATGCCCTGAATTTTCGGTTCTCTGCACAGGATCATTACAGGTACCTATTACGTTACAGCTCATTTCCTTCAATTCAATTCTGTGGTGTCCATTGTTTTCACATTTTTTTCAGATCGTCTGCATCATTAGAAGAATTCTTAATTCTCTACATTATGTGGAAGCAGATGTGTATTATCTCAAGCAAAATTTTTAGTTCTTACTATTATGTGAAGCAAATGTGCATATTCTCTACAATCAAATCACTGCCCTCCTGGCTTAAGAGTGTAACTACACCTAGCAATGAATCGTGTTGTGCATACAACTCCAGGGGTTTCCAAGCTCATCTTAATGTGTAGTTACGCCCTTTTTTCAGCTGAGCAATGAAAAGATCTTGCAGATCTAGCGTAGGCTACAAGAATGATTTTAGGCTTTTTTTTTCGACAAAACATTATATGTATACATATGTATTTCATCTACCACTATTAGGATTTTGTCGTCACAAATCTCAAGTGGCAAATTTCCCTGGGTGCAATAATTTTTTTTTTTTTTTTTTTTTCCATGAATACTTATAGTGATGAAGTTACTAAAAGCAACTGCGAAGGCATCGAAGTTGGTGATGGAGCTAAAATCGTTCTTGCAGAGGATGGAACTGCTGGCTTGAAAGAAATTCGAAGAGCATTTTTGTCGAGTCCTGGTGTTGATACTGCTATTGTTCCTGAAAAATGGGTTGATAATCACTACCGATGGATAGTTTGGAAACTTGCATGTATGGAGCAGAGGTTTCCACAAATTTATGCAAAGAAGTAAGTATAATGATTTGATGTCGTTTGCAACTTCTACTTATTTCATTGGTGCTCCCCAATCAAGACAGTCTTAATCTTCAAAGAAAAAAAAGGAATCAATCATACTCTTCAGAAGAAAGAAGTTATCTTAGAAAGGAAAATGTAGGAAATGATGCTGTAGTGCGCATGAAATTCCAAGTTTATGAACGATGCCTATTCAGATGCAGGGCTGATGATAGAGTAGATTCCATTTTCTCTTAAAGAGTTACATTTTGCTTACTTTTTTAAAGTTGCTTAACGGTTCTTTATTGATTGACCATGCCATTAATTGATTTTTCCATAAAAATAAGTAAATTTAGTCCTTTTTTTAATCCATCTGAAAAAAGTACATCGATCAAGCTCTATCAGACGCTATGAAAATTTTTCTGTACCTTTCTGAACAAATGCTAAATATCTGGGCGAGTCCTGAATTCTGATGAGAGGGATCATTATGTGTAATTTAAGCTATTGATCCATCACATTTAGAAAACCCCAAATATTTTGTATCTTATGGAGAAGTTATTTTTCCGACGTTCTTCTCTTGTGTAAAAAGACACCCCTCTTTTCTTCGCTTAAGTGTTTCCGCTAGTATTTGTTCTCTTTTCAGCCCTAAAATTTGGTGTCCAATGTTGCTCAAGTTTTTAATTGATCTTTAATTCACTTTGGTAGATGCTTGACAATGGACAACTTACTTTTTCAATTAAAGTACCGTTATGACAGAGAAATTGACCGAGCGCAAAGGTCATCCTTGAGGAAAATTTTGGAGTCCGATGAAGCAGCCTCTAGGCGGATGATTCTTTGTGTTTCAAAGGCAAGTACATAAAGAGGTGCAGAATATTCATCAGCCTCAAAATTTTTTTGTTAATGTAATAAAATGAACATAATGAAAAAACTGATTGAAAAGTAGATTCCCTTTCCCTTTACTTATTGAACTTTCGAGGTGCCTTACTTTTAGAATGTTCAATAAAAATCCTTATTGATGTGATTAATGTTTAGTAGTATGTGATCAAGAAAGTTACGCATAGAGGAGAAAGTGAAGAATAAATGATGTAGCATTGACTCAGCTTTTCTGAACGTAGATATTACCAAAAACAGTAAATGTTTATTCTTTCAAGCTTCCATTGTAAATCTTTTATATTTTTTCATTTGTCTTCTCTATCATCAGTGGAGAATTATCTAGAACGCAACTGCTGAATCTAATTTTTTTCTCCTCTTCCATTTTAATACTGAACAACTTCAAATGAGTTTTTTGGCTTTGTATCAAGATTTTTTAAAAATTGTTCTCTTTTTTTCCTCATTTAATTAGGTGACCCAGTCAAGCAGCACGACGGAGTTAGAACTGACTGACGGATGGTATAGCGTAAAATCTTTTGTGGATTCTGCAATGGCCTCGCTTCTTCAAAGAAAGAAAATTGTCGTCGGAACTAAATTGATGATTCAAGGTGCTGAACTGCTCAATTGTGAACAAGGCTGTGATCCGCTGGAGGTAATTTTTTTGAAGAACCTTGTACAGATTATGGGGAGTCAGTGGCTCCCGCTATGTTTCAATGAAATTTTAGTAGTTTAAAATTAAGTTCGCCATCAGCACAAAGCCAAAAAATTGGGCCATGCCACCGAGCAGAGCATATATTTGCGATTGAATATGGGGACTCTTTTCTAACATATAAGGCATAATGGCATGGCGAAAGATGTACAATTCCTCCTTCCTAGCTGCATGGAGTTCTCGCTTGGATTGAGCTCCCTGTATAATTCATCACATCTTATCTTGTATGGAGGGGTAGCTGGTAAAAAGTTAAATCTGGCCCAGATCAAGTAAAGAATTTTCCCCCAAGTTTTCATGCAAATTTACTTGTTTCATGCAGCGAGGCTTTGTGCAAAAATTGTGTCACACTGTAAAAAAAAATTCTGCAGGTGCATGGAACCAGGAAACCCACCTAGCTCTGGTCTTTTGATGGAGTTTAGTGGCGGTTTCCTGTCTGCTCCATATTTTAGCTCAAGGTGGAGCCCCATATCCCCCTCTTATAATCTCATAGGTGTTCTTATCCAGCATCTGTTACCAGCTCTGAACTTTTGATTTTCAGTCATTTCTCGGATCTCAGTTTAGACAGAGTTCTTTCGTTTAAATGGGTCGGATGAAAATATTTCTCACCATTTTTCTCTTTCATAGTAATCATTGAAGAGTTAAGTTATGGAGTTCCCAATATGTCTGGCACTGTTTTATCTAACTAATAGTTTTACACAGCTTTCAGTACTCGTAGTGGCAAAATGTTTTTTCTATCAGTATTATACTTAACAAATGTATTGTTAAAAAATTTGATAATTCATTTGAAGCAGAATTTAAGGACAATCTTTTTTCTGAGGAGGCTTCTAAGCATATTTTTTATTTCTTTCCTAGGTTAGAGGAAACATTTCTTTAAAAATACATTCTAATTGCACAAGAAGAGCCAAGTGGGATGCCAAGATGGGTTTTTTCCATGATTCTGGTCCTATTCCTGTACGTTTAGATTCGGTGTTGTGTGGTGGAGGAGTGGTGGGAAAGCTACATGTATTCATTGCTAGAGTATATCCAGTTTTGTACCTTTCAAAAGGAGCCAATGGGAAGAGTGGTAAGTGATTTATCTTTTTAACTAGCCGCTTTAATGTATATTAATTTTCTCTTCATCACTAAAAATTTTTCAGCGCTTTACTAATCTGACCCTTGGATAGTAATAACATTTTATCATCAATGACTATCCTCTTTTCTCATTTTATGTATGGAAGATTTCAAGATATCAAGTCAATCTTTAAGTGGAGAATGAGAAAAAGGAACATGAAGGAACACTCCCCTATAAGACTTGATTTGAAAAATAAATTTTAAACCCTATTTTCTCATACTGAATGTTTTTTCCAACTTTAAGTCATCAACAAAAGAAAATTTACAACCAGTTAAGCTTCAAAATCAACTTTCCCAAAATGTAGCATTTTTACATGGTTCCTTTTCGACTTACTTGGTACAGCCATCTCTTTGTAGCAATCCTTTTTCAGAAAAACTTTTAGTAACAGATAAATCTGCCAGTCAGTTCTTAAACTGAATACATGCATCTTCCCCCTATCTACCATGTCTCTCTCAGTACTTTGTAAGTCTTCCGGTCCCTTGAGAGTTGCTGTACAGAGAGAGTTCTGTACCTATGTATAAACTGTAGAATATAATACTATCTATAATATATGAATATTTTAGTATTTTATTTTTTCTATTTTTCTTGTGTCCAGTCTTTTTAAATGAGAAGCTTGAGATCAGTCAACGAACATCTGAAGATAGAGAAAAATCAAAAAGAATGGAGGCTATGTTTAATGAAGTGAAGAAGGAATTAGAAGAAGAAAGCAGGAAGAAAACTCGGTCCAGTCGGAGGTCGTACTCAAAAAGACAAATTTCGTCTCTTTCATCTGGTCCAGAGCTGGCTGAATATTTAGAAGCCGCACTTGATCCTTCCATAATTCAAGTAATTCCAATTATAGCTCTAATTTTTCCTGAGTTTTTTTTAGATAAGTTATAGCATAGGCGCTGAACTCAAAGGTTGAAGGTACATATTCTAGATCAGTACGTAATATCAATAGACCACTAGATAGTATATAAAATTTTGATGAGGGAACATATGCTGTAGTTTTTAGTTTCTTTTTCTGCCTGGTGGTTTATTACCCTTGTTGCTCATCCAAATATGTAATGATAAATTTTTTAAGACCGCCTTTGAGGGACGTAAGTCATGAGAACAAAGAATCAAGTCCGAGGGTTCTCCTTTTTGTTTATCATTCAAAAGAACCAGCATTTGGGATAGTTATTTCTTAATATTTTTATGTTTTCTTTCAGTTCTCAGAAGAGCAACTCAGAACTCTATCCGAGTACAAACGTATGGAGGAAGAAAAAATGGTACAAGAACTTCGTTCCCGAGTGAATGAACGCTTGAAGAATGAAGAAAATACAAGGAAAAGCTCCACACCGTTGTTAAAAGTAAGTTCTCCTTTCCCTAACCTAGCAATTAATCTTGTTTGGAACACTCTTTATTCAAACTAAATTCCTGCCTAATCTTCTCAAAGGCTTCCTTGGCTCTTTTCTCTTTTATTTTTAATACAACCTTTTCGGCAGTAGTTAAGATTGGATGGTCTCTTTTTGTTCATTCAGGTTCGAATAGTAGAAGGCAGTGCATCGCACTCCAATTCTCGCTCATCAGCAATTTTAACTGTTTGGCGGCCACCAGAAGACGTCTCATTACTCTTGAAGGAAGGATCTTTCATGAATATTTACAATGTATTACCGTCAAGTTCCAGGTATGTCTTTTTTCTGTAAGGTAAATTCATAGTTTCACTGGATGTTAGTACAAAAACTATCATTGATGGTTTCATCAATCAAACAACAATACAGTAAAATGATTTTTTTGCTTAGTATCTGTACCTTTAATCACGTAGCACATTTAACAAAGGCTGTGTCAAAAGTTTTGCATCCATCCACCATACAAACCAACAAAACTAGATATCCAGAAAACTAGTAAGTTGTGGTTTGCAGTGTTCTTCAGATTATTTCTTTGCCTACAAAATGAGTCTTTGTTGAGCATATTTCACAAATAACTGATGGAATTAAGGTGTTTTTTCAGAGGCTTACTACGCGGACTCCTACCAGATTTTAAGACTTCTTTTAAAACAAAGAAAGTTTAAACGTTAGATGCAAGTATTTTAAAAAAATGAACAAAAGAAGCATTTCAAATGAAGTTTCCATATTTTGCAGCTCTTCATTTGAAAATTCCAAGCCTCCACTTTCTTTTTTAAAATACTTTCACTCAGATTTATGCAGCTTTCTCTCACTATTTTATCAGAATTTTTTTGCTCAACTCAAAGGAAGAGTTTTTGAATAAGTTTCCTGAACTAAATCTTTAAATTTTTTTTTTTTTTTTTTTTTTTTTTTTTTTTTTTAGTCCGACTAAAACTCCTTGTAAGTTTTAAACCTGAACCTGTAAGGAGCTACAACCATAAAAAATGAAGTTGAATAAAAATACCCTCATTTTTCACCAAAAAAGCCAGCATAAAACATATCATTTTCTAACTGTCAGCCTGGTGTGTATGTATTTCTCATTAAATTTGCTCTGTGTTTCAGGTATGGTGATGACATAAGCCTTTCAACGAGTTTTCACACTCGTTATGAGTTGGTTTCCAAAGACATGAACCATCCTCTATGTAGAGAAGTCTCTCATTTCACAGAAATTTCCAATCCCAAATTCGGAGAAGTTGATGTTGTAGGAATTGTCATTCATATTGAGTCAGGGACTGCTGGGAAAAGTTCTTTTCACAAAGCCTATCTATCAGATTTACAAGAGAATTTTCTGGCTATTTCTTTCAGTAATAGTCTTTCGGTAAGAGATTCCTTGTATTAAATTATTTTATAGATTTCTATTCTGAAGATGCAATTGGAAGACATTGAAAGATGTCCACCTTCGGGGAATTTTAATCAGGGTGAAGCAATGAACCAATTTTTAAGTTAAAACCTTCTTCTGTTTAAATGTTCACCCAGTCAATGTGGTCAAATGAAAAAAAGGTCTTCAATTTTTAGTACTCGAATGTGTCCACCCCATGAAACTGTAAATGTAAACATTTTATCAATGATTGCTTACCCGTTTGAAGGAGCATCTTTATGGAATGCATACTGCCCATTCATGTTAATTGTTAAAGCTTTTCTCTCTCTCTATTTTTGAAGTGTGTCTCTCAAGCACTTTATCCAGAAACTTTGAGAGGGCAAAACTTTCAAGATATGATCCCTATTTTGTGCTTTTCTTTTATCAAAGTGTAAATGTACCGCAAATTTTATGTTTTCCACACTGTGAAAACACTCATTAAGAAATTAATGGTTTTTAGAGCACAAGTTTTGCTCACTCCACAGAATAATTTTCTTCACTTGAAGACAATTTCTTCATTGCATTTCTGGCAATCTTTACTTCTATTTCATCAGGATTTCCGTTTCACAAACACTTGCTCGTATCAGAGAGTTTCTTCTTAATTAAATAGAACAAATTTTCTTAATGTCTTCTTCATTTTCAGGACCGTGGCTGGAGTGATGTTGTGAGGAAAAATGCTGCAATTGCTTGCTGTAACTTACAGTGGACTGGTGGGAAAGTTGCAATGAAAATTCCTCTTCTCTTTTGCTCTGAAGTTTCGTTTTTCACTGGACATCCAAAAATGAAACATACAGAAATCGCTCTGCAAAAGTTTAAAAAAAATCCTCTCTTGAAGGTAATTTGTTTCAATTATTTATACATAATTCATCCATTGAATTTTTATGTTAGGATTGATGTCGTCAAAATGTTCAATGAATGCCAGTTCCTCAAACAATTCCGAGTAAGTTTTCTGTATGTACACTGTCAGGGAATCATTTCAAGTTTCATTCTTTCCCTCTTTTGCTTTATGAACAATATGCTCTTATCACTGTAATTGATTATGAAATTTCTCACCCTCTTATGTATTTTTTGAAAACCATTACGATAACAGAGGCCAATATGTACATTCTTTTTAGATTTGCCAAAGAATTGCAAATCTCCTTTGGATCAATTTGCAGTGCTGATTCTGAAAACGACTACCGTGTTTCATAATCAGGTCAGTTTAGCCTGGAAAAATCGGAATTTTCATGTAAACTGGAGGGAAATTATATTTTTTTGAAAAAAATATGCATGATGGAGAAAATCAAGGTCATTTTCGGATTCAACCATAAAAATACATTCATAAACATGTATCGCATGCCTAACACATTTTCTGCTTTGTTCTTGATAGCGAGGTTTTCCTAGTCAACTGCCCTCCTCTGCCCATATACCATCATGTAAATTTCACCTGATTGTTTTGCTTTGGAAAGGATGGGGAGGAAATTTTTCTCAGGTAGGTATTAAATAGGGTTGGTCTTTCTTGATTTTTGCCACTAAAGCTGAAAATGACCCCAGTATTTTTCCAGAACCTTCGGAAAAGTGAGTTTTTAAATAAAGGGTAGTTTGCAGAGCCTCAAGTTAATAATTTGCTTTATGCTTGTTGGTCCAGGATGTCTGCAGTTTTGTAAACACTCAAAAAGAAAAGCTGCTTGCTATTCTTGCCATAAACTCCTCAATGGAAGATCCCGAACCTGCAAGTGTTTCAAAATTATCTAAAGGGAGTGAGAGCAATTTTTCCGCCCTGCTAGACGATTCTGTGTTTACGGAGGAAGCTTTAAATTCAATCGGAGTCGCAGCAGAATCAGGTATGAATTCACTCATTGTTGATGCCAGAATCACGCCTGTACAGCAAAAAATCCAGCGTTTACAATCTTATGGCTCAGCCCCATCATTACCAAAAATACACATTCCTAAACCCAATTTAAACCTAAGGAAAGGATTTAAAGTGCCTGCAAAAATTGACCAGAGCTAGCATTTCTTGTTGCTTAAAAGCACCTTATATATTGTATCAGTTGAAAACTATCTGTGCTTTTTATTTTCTTTTCCTGTGTATATATCCCTGGCACTCAAACAAAAATTACGGAAATGTCATTTCTTTGTTGCATTAATTTGTGGAAACAGGGATGTCTACGCATCGAATATTCTGCTAGTAGAAACAAAAGAAGTAATTAATGAAGGGCCACATAGCGTTTCTCTGAATGATAAAACAATTTGCTCTACCTCTTTCTCATTATTTTGTGGATAAAATTAATGAATTAATATTTTTGCTGATGAGATTGGTCATTCTTAGAAATTTTAATTTGACTCATTACGAATTGAAATCTGTGTCATGTATTTGTAGCCAATATTGTTGTTACTTTTCATAAATTTGCACCTAACTGCAGATTAATGGACAACATCATTGTCTATTAATCTTTGAGTTTTGTTAGCTGTGTGAAGTATCTCAGGTCAGTGCCATTTTTTTCCCTCGCGAGGGATCATTTTTTTGTTTTACTTATACCTCTCTTTAAGTTACCGAATTATTGCAGTTTTTGCTCAAGAAGTTGGCCTTCACTTGGACCTTTTTTCATGTTTACATTTATTAATCATCTTTTCTCGTTTTAAAATAATTTGCATATCATTAAGTATACAAATGGCATGTACATCGACATGCAAGTAGCCCATTTCAAATAATATTCTCATACTTGATCATTCCGCTAGGCTTTCAGAGGAGACTGAATCTAGTTTCCCCTTGATATTTTTCTGCCCAGAATCAGTTTTTTTTTTTTAAATTTTCTTTTTTTTTAATCAAAAAATGTCCTACAATCGTGTGGTGTCAACACTTGTAGCAGCTAAGTGTAAGTTTTTTATGTATTTTTTATTTTCATCTCCCCATCCTGTGCCTTTGTTTTCCTCCTTATGTTTTTACTTTCTTTTAGCCCCTCCTAAAATATGTTATATGTATCAAGTTGTTTAATTTATTCCCCTTGTTCTTTCATGAAGGCCACTGTCACTTGTTAACGTTAAGTACAAAATTGATCTTTTCATTCTTTGGAAATCATCATGTCGGTCAATAATCATTTATCTTTAGAAAGTTCTTTTTTGACTGCTGTTTTTTTATTACTTTCTCCTCTCATTGAGCCTCTCTTTAAGTTAGTAAGTTGCAAGCAGGTAGAATTGGTGTTCACCTGATTTTCAAATCGTGAAAGAAGTATTAGTACAAGTAGTATAGTAATTTGTAATCATTTCCAAAATTGATTTATTAAATTTATTGTGAGAAAAGGAGTTGCGCTAGTCACAGCATTATGTTTTGATGGTTAAATCTCATAGATTCGCAAAAAATATGAAGGTATTCCCTAACACTAAGATTCCATGTCCAATATTAGTGGAGATATCGCCATTCAAAGAACAGGTTGTATGATGTTATTCACCAAGGTGGGGCATACCATGATCTCTTCCACCTTGATGTCATCTGAGTTTTAAATCAAGCAATCAGTGCATACGCATTTGCTTATGCATTTGTACATGCTTGATTTGAAACACATGTGTACCCTTAATTGATGAAGGTGGAAGAAACCATAGTATGTACTACTATGATGGATGATGTTATACTCTGTATTTGTTGAAGGGCAATATATCCGTTAATATTCAGCGTTGAAACTAGGTGTTCAGATACATCTTTTTATTTTTTGTTAATCTATAAACATAAACCATCAAAACATGATTCTGTGACTAGCTCAACTGACCCTGATAGAAGGAATGGAAACTGAAAAACAACAACATCAACTGTATTATAAAAAAAAGTAGTTTTATTCAGCTAAAATTAAATAACATAGAATGATAGTAAACATAAAATCAGTTGCGAAAAATCAAGAAAGCAACAGTGTCCAGACAGGGACATCAGCAGTCAGCATGGATTGACAGGAAGTGGGGAACATCCATCATGAGGCTTACTTTTTCATTTGGTGTGAGTGTATTAGTTTACACATTTGCAAAAAATAAAAAAACAATAAAGAAAGAGACAAAGAAGTAAAACTGGTAAGAAGAAACTTAAAAGTTATGTTTTTCTATGAACAAGTGATTAAGTATACGTCAATGGGAATGGATATTAAATGGAAATAATAGATCGAAAGGTTAACAACTTGAGCTCTGCTCATTTATAAAGTTGAAATGCAGAAGCATTTTGAGGGGACACATCCTTCCCTCAGAGATCAAATCTGTTTTCTAAATTAGAAACCAAGGCTTCCCCGAAGAAACCAGAAATCTAATTTATTTTGTAAGTTTGTATCTCTAAATTTCTGACTAATCTCTGCGTCTGTAGCTGTACATCTTGTGGGTTCACGTTGCTTTTTCCCAAAATGTGTGCCAGTATTTTTAGGTGGATAAATAAGGTTTTATAAATGGACGTATTTCTGTCAAATGGAACTATGTGCAATATGACGTGAGCCCTGTTATGCATGTATGCTTATGGGCCTCAGAGTTCATGTCTTAATGCACATAGTTCCGTTTGACAGAAATACGTCCAAATGGGCCACTAGATAAGGTCTGAACTAGGAAAAAACGCCACATGTTATATCGTTAAGTCCTACTTAAAAAGCTACTCACTCAACAGAGCTGAGATCAACTCCTGAATGAGATATCAACAAGTTTTTTCAGTTTATATAAATGACGGATTTGTTTTTTTGTTGTTTCATCAATTAAATTGGACAAATTTATATCTTATTTAGGTTTAGATTTCTGGACTGCCTTTCGTGTGGTGCGTTTTCCTCATGAGATTTCAAAGAGAGAACGTCCTCGGGAGTGCTTGAATTCATACCTTGACCAAAGGCCCATCAGAGGTTATTAACTATACAGTAGTTTGATTTCCTAGATAAGTTAAATTGAATCTCATCATTCCAATGTGAGTGGCTTACAGATTTACAAGTAAGCAACAGATGCAATTCTAGACCGGTTGCATAATCTAACCAAAAGTCGGCACCTGATTATTTGACAGAAGTGCCTTTTCAAAAAATGAAGTTTAAAGTGAGAGCAAGGTAGTGATTAAATATTATATGTTCGTTCATTTATGGTGGACAATTTTAATCCGAGCACTGCCCAAAAATGATGGAAGTAGTTATGCCTTACCTACACCTAAAATTTTTGCCAACTCCAAGGGAAGATAGTTGCCTACCTGGCTAAGAAAAATTTCCGGAGATTCCTTTGCTCCAAACGAGCAATTATCACAGTATTACTATTTTGTGCTGCAGAAGAGGTTCATCGCAAAAGTTGTATGTTTGTAAAAACGGTCGTTAAATTTTATAGATGAGTATTACCTATGAGGGTACAAAAATAGGATTTAAAATTGAAAATAAAGAATTAGCTTTTCATGTATTCATTATGTAAAAAGCCAAGCAAATCATGATTTAAAAAAGATGGAATGATGTGAGGAAAAGGGGCAGGGCAAAAATCAACTTATAGTTCCTCCTCTTGATCAAAACTCAATGGATGAAAACGAAATTGAGCCCTTATAAGTAGAGCTGAACCACTGAATTCAATAATCTGTTCCTTTTGACATCAAAAGAAAAACTTAACTATTCAGTAAAGCTCATGAAGGTAAATTTGATCCCACTGGAAGTGAGCTTTAGGGGCTGTTTAACTTGCATTCACGATTTGTTCATTTAGGTGAACTTTTTCCGAACTGGGAATGAACTAGTTTAGTGAGGTCAGCACATTCAGTTTGACAAACTAATTTTAGCTTGGTTAAAACTATCTTAAAGAAGCTAAAAACAAGGATATCTTTTAATTCATTAGAGTTGCTGTGTAGATGTCACACAATATTTGCAAACAGTCGTAATCATTGGTTTCAGCAATAGAACCGATCAGTGTAAAGCTTAAAGAAATCACTCTTGAGTCCTTAATAAATGTAAAATAAAAAGGAAGGGTCTCATAATTATTCTTGGTTTGTGGAATCATATCTTTAGTGTGTGGATTTCTGACACTGAAAATAATCAAGGTTTATTAATTTATTTTCTTACTATTTACAAGGGCCTAGTCAGTTAGTGCAAATCCATGTATTAAAGCAGTCTAATTTTAGGGAAAGTTATTTATTAGTTGTGAAAGTATCAGGGGAAACAGTTCAGACAAGCTGTAGTCAAACAAGATTTTATGCGTTTTGAAATTGATGCGAAAGTTGTTTCCTCTTGGTTCTGAATTTAAAAGGAGTTATTGGAACTTTTAGTAAAATTAAGTTCCAAGACACATCTAAACAAAGAAGGGCTTGGATGTGTGCACCAACCAAATGAGTCTGATATGGTGGTATCCAAAAAAAATAGGTAGTAAATGGAGATTATATTACTGTGATGAAATGAAATATTAGTAAATGCAGAGTAAAGTTGAGATTCATAATTACATTGACTAAAAAAATTGAATTTACAAATCTTGGGCGATTAATAAAATTGAGAGTTTTATCCCATTCTTTTTCTCATTATATATTGCAGAATCAGATCAGTAACTCTCCCATTTTTTTTCATGTCAGTCAAAGTTATGCTTAAGAAAAGCTGGAGAAACATTGAAAACAATTATTTTTTGTCTTCATTTTTCAGCAGGTATTGGGGATTCTGCAAGGGAACTACCAGTTAATTCTTGTTCTTTTTTGAAGGTGCGGGATGTCGAATTTTCTTGCCCGTTTGGGATTCTGACTTCTTTCCCATTACGTCTGCTAACTGGATCGGTTGTTGTTCGAAAGTCAGAAAATTGTGATTGAAAGAGTCTTCCTTGCCGGAAGGAAATCCTCATTCCAAAAGGTATAAAATAGTACAAAAGGGATCCTGTAAGTCAGCTAACAGGGGAGCATAGTATAGACACAGATGTTCACTAAACTGACTATGTACTCAAGTAGTTGGGTATCAACTTTGTGGAGTATTCTGATGCCTAATACTATTACACACTTATGAATATGTCAGAAATTATGATGGACACAGAATTTCCTCATCTTTCCTTTGGAGTGATTTGCGTTCTTGAGATTATTCCCGTAGTTTGTGCCATTCTGCAATCTGTCGTCGCGGACTGTTGCATACTTCATTCCAATGGTGCAGAGCAGGTCCTGTATTTTTGGCACCACCCAGTTCCAGACGCCCAATCACCTGCACAGATGACAATGATGGCTTAAAGCACACGCTCTCAACGTCTATTGAGCTACCAAATAGGGCAGTAATGACAAATTTTCAATTTTGATGATGTACCGAGAATGGCAAAAGGCGCCCAATGAGATGGTGAGGGGATGGGACTAAATTCGAAATGCTTTAGGGTTTGATTCTAGAAGGGTTGTGATTTGAAAAAGGTCAGTGGCGGTTGGGCATTGAAGAGCACCAGGGAGCGCCGTATATATGGATTGCATTTTGCAAAAAGGAACCACTAGCATTGCAATGTTGCTAAGATTGTGCAACTTCTTTTGTCTTGGAGGAAAAACCCCATTATCCCTTAATAGTTTCTATTTCACTCGCTAAAAACTGTAAATTTAAGACAAAAATTAACATCTAAATTTCATAGTTTTTCACAATTTCCGCAATTTTATTGCAAAGTATGAAGTTGCACAATCTTAGCATCATTGCAATGCTACTGGTTCCTTTTTGCAAAATGCAATCCATATGTATGTGTGTAACAAAGTCAAGCCTAAAGGGACTTGTGGTGAGAGGGTGTTTGAGATGACCACATTCCTCTGTTATTATGAAATTTTAATGGATTGCCTGCCATGAAAAAACTCCAGAATTTGAAAGATTCAATCAAACACGGTTCTCATTGTGGCAAATTGTATAGAACTGCTCTTCATGAGCATTATAGCAATGTAGCTGAGCATGAGCTAATGAACAATATAGTCAAGTTAAAACCTTCCATTGTAAATGCATTTTTCTGCACCTCCCGGACAAGTAATTTAATCATTGAATACAGCCCCACATTAATTTTCATAATCGACGAACGTCATATGGTGAAACACATTACCCTCTCTTGAGCACAGAAAAGTCATCGATTTGACTGCCTGATAAATTTTCGAAAGCAACATGAAGTTAATTTCATTAAGACATTTAAAGTGAATCAAGTCATAATTTTTATCATGCAAGTATCAAATTACATACCAATTATAATGAAACATTTCAGATTTCCGTTAAAATAATCTTCTATTCTCATAAATTAAATTCAAGAACAGTAACTGTATATGAATTCATAATAACATTAAACTCATGTAGTATGAACGAATACGAACCTCATTTTTGGTGACTCGGTCCCAATCGAGAAGCAAAAATTCAAGGCTGATGTTTGCCAAACTGTCTGCTCCATTAGGTATTTCAAAAACGAAGGACTCATTGAAAACTGGGTTGAGCGTGCGTTTCTTTACGTGTGTTTTCTTTTTCGCCACTCGTTGTCCGTTGTAGAGTAAATACATCTTTACATATGGATCTGCAAAAAAACAATGGTCAATTTTAAATCAGAGAGAAAGAAGCTGAATGCTAGAACTTCTGTCATAAAAAATGACTGATTTAATTAAAAAACAATAACCTGCTATCTTTCGCAACAAAGTGACGTTCTTTTATCAAGAAAGAAAATAAATATCACAATTAAAGACATTTGACCAAAAAGTGCAAGATATTTTGTACCTACATTTTGCTCTCATTTTCAAGTTGAGGATTCGATCTATGATATCACAAAAAGTGTGTTTTAATATTTGCTTTAATTTGCACAAAAACTGAATTGTTGCATTAGTTTTGGGAGAACCTACGAAAATGAGTTATCATGATGATTCTAATTCCTGCTTTTATCTAAAAATTAATTGCATACCTGCAAGACCTGTTACATCCATTTTTGGGAGATTCCTTGCCTTCAAAACAACGACAGTTATTCGATTAGCAGCAGGCTGCCAGCATAAGGAGACAAGCAGCTCTCCTCGCCCTTGAGATCGAATCTGTAAAAAAAAAGGAACATGATGTTTTGAATGGCACTCGTGAATTTAAGCAGTCAGAACCATAACTTTCGTTAAACTGAATTTTTCAAGGAAAAAAAATTACATCTTTTGTACAGAAAATCGTTTGAAACTCTCTGAAATAGGTACCTACTCAAAGAAAAATATGTGTCCGTGTTTTCTTGTAAAAATATAAGTCTTGTGCAGCTCTGAAGCACTAAAATGTAATTACACCCTTGAAAAGGCTCTTGTTACCTCAGTTTGAGAGTATACATTTTGTGACAGCAGCTGAGCCTAATTGTTGAAACTATTTCAGGCTTCGTTGGCAAGATAAGACATGATAGAGGTCTACTTGTGCCATATTTAATATATTGATTTTCGATGTCTTGTCGTTCTAACATAATTTTCATCAATCAGGTTGCTGTTTTGTTCTTTTTTTGGCTACCAATTATTGCTCAACTACTATGTAGGTACCTCCCCTTGCCCTTAACTTTTATACTTTTGTCAATGAGGTGTGATCTCATATGTTAGATTCTTCTTCTTAAAAAATGTTGATTGTCTAACATCCACATATCTCTAAATGATCTCAAAACTTACTGTTAGAACGAATGAAGTTGAAATTAGATGAGCAATTAAATAGTAGCATTGTCCAGCATTTTTATTCATTACTAAGTACCTATCCCTCGTAAAATAATTTATGCTAATTTCAACTACCTAGGTGTAATTTAATTTGAAGTTGGTGTGAATTTTTTAAACTGTCAGTTACAATTATTTTTGGCCACTTCATTTTTTCATCCTGGAATCTTTTTTCATCTGAAAATTTAAATTATTTAGACAAAGATGAAAATATTACCTTCATGCTGCGGGGTTGAATATCTCGACAAAGGGAAATTTGCTGATTCTCCAAATGTGCCAAATCAATCGATGATAGTGGAGCAAATACTTCTCCGATGATGTCATCTCTAGAGTATCGATCAAAACTCAGCACAGCAAAGTGTAAAGTAATGCTCTGAAAAAAAGACAACCAAAGATATTATTTAAACAAGCATTCTTTCAAACAACATGAAAACTATATTTCTTTTGTCATTTTTGTTCGACTAAATTCAACCCAATTGCGCACAACACATGATTTTAGCAGAAACCAAAGTTTCCTCAGTTCCTAGAAACGTATTTCGAACATTATTTTTCACCATTTTCGTTTATGGAGTTACTATAGGCCCCATAGCAGGCCCCACTTGTTATAATTAACCAAAGTGTAGGTAGGTAGGTACCTACTAATAGAATAGACAATCATCTGTTGATTGAAACACAACTGGTGGTGATAAAAGAGGCTGTGAACTTGAGAACAAGCAGTAACACAAGGAAAATAAAATTTCACGAAAATACGAACAATTAATTTAAAAAATCTTAAATCAATTGATGACTCAATGTACCAAAATTGTACTCATTCAACAGCAAAAACAAATTAGGTGATATTGGAACTGGGCGGTTATTTAGAAACTCATACTGCAACATGAAAAAATTGGACGACAAGTAGAAAGATATATGTACCTTGCATAAATGATCAACCTGATACCAACTAAAGTATGCAATTGTTTTTTAAGAAGACCCACCTGCAGCTGATTGGTGTTGATCCCGTAAAAAGTGAAGTCTTCGTCATAAATTGGATTCCTCGTCTTGCGTAAGACTCGAGTTTTGACCTTATGCTGCTTGTCTGGTAACAATTGCAATTTGATGTACGGATCACAGTTCCCTGTGCTTGCATCTTTTGCTGGAAGATTGCGGCATTTTAAAACACTCACTATCAAGATGGACTTCTCTTTCTTGTATCTATAAAAATGAAGACACAGTAATGAAATTTAATTTAACAGGATGTAATAAAGTGATTAAAGCAAATTACTCCGTTGTTATATTCACCTTGGTATCGGATCAAAAGAGAGTAATTACTAACTTTACGTGACAATGATAGTATATTATAATGCTCCAAAAAACGAACAAAAATTCATTTCGTAGATACTTTTTAATTTATTTTTATTTGTGTGTTTTCCTGTTTCCTCCAAGGCATCATCATTTACTCGCAATAAATGTGCTCAAGACCACATAGAAATAATGTCTGATTATAATTATGAGAGACTGTCTGAATCCACCCCTCAAGTAGAACAAGTTGCAATAAATTGCAATAATTACAAAATAAAATTATTGTTAATATTATATTGGAGTGTTGTGCATGTTGCCTATTCACTAATTGAAGGGACTCCTTCCATTGAAATTAATCGTAACAAAATTGAAATGAGTTGCATTTTGTTTTGCCCTGCAAATTGCGTACCTTGAAGCCCTTGAAATATGAAACTAATTTTGTGGATTGTTTTAAATCGGCAAATATCGACCAAATTATTTAAAAATGTAGCAAATACATGGTAAATAAACTTGTAATTTTATTACATTAAATTGCAAAATTAACATAATATTTTCGTCGTGCTGCGCTGGGTACCTACTCGGGCATGATCCCTTTTGCTTGTGTTTAGTATAGAAGCACTATAAATCTTTTATAACGTATAGGTACTACAAACCTGAGTTTGAAGAAAAGTTGTCCCAGTTTTCCAGAGCCGTTTTGTTCCTGCAAAACCTTGCTTTTTTCACTTGGTTCTGTTTCCTCTTTTGGAGGTAACGGTACACATTCATTTTCCGTATGCATCCTAAACAAATCAAAGAGGAAAAAAAATGAGAAAACAAAAATTGATTTCCCATTATTATGACAAAAATCCGGAGAAAATGTAAGTAGAAAATAGGATGACGAGTTATTTGAATTTTTCTCGCTCAGTGTCTAGAGGAAGAACAGCTTATTTTGTAAGTACCTAATACAGCAGAAGCAGTCTCATTCAGTCGTGAACTTTTCTAGGATCATGAACCAAAGACTAAAAACTGTTAAAATGTACGTTTTAGGAAATCCTTTTTTGCTATGTTTTAAGTTAAATTTATTTAACTTTTTAAAAAGTGACCAATTTTTAAACGTTTTTTTTTTTTTTAAAAAAAAGAAAGTTGGAAAATTTTTAGTGTTGAAAAACTTCAGTTGATATTTTGAAAAATGTTTAATGCCACGATTTCATTTTCTGTGTGCATCCTGAAAAATTCAAAGAAATAATAATAATAAAAAATTCAGTGAGAGATCGATAAGTTTGTTAAATGAATCAAATGTCAGTCAAAAAACGGAATAAATTGGCCATTTTGAAACACCGTGATAGTGTCAGGGCCGGATTTCCCTACTTGCCGCCCATGCATAGAGAAAAAAGAGGAGGTGTTTGCATTTCGGGCATCTTGGAATTTTTCATAGAGTATCTATAGCTTTGATGACGTCATTGGGTACAGCGACGTTTTTATCCTGTCGATTTTCTTGGAAATGGTGTAATTTAAGGGAAAAAGTCATTCTATAAAAAGTGCTTGAAATTAAATAAAGAGTTGATTTAAGTAAAAAAATCGGACATTATGGTCCGTTTTTACAGCGTCAACATAACCCTCAACGAGCGTCTTGTTTACATTGATGACGTAGGTGGGTACAAATCCTCAAGATGCAAACACCTCCTTTTTTTTCTCTATGCCGCCCATGGGTCGCCTGTGTTTTGCCGCCTTCGTTTTGAAACATCAATAAAAACGATCAAATGAACGTGCCAGCGGGGGAAGGGTGCACAAGACGCGTTTACTCGTGTTGAACACATTTTTTGGGAAAGCCCTGTCAACAATACTTTAGCGAAAGTTTACGGAACTTTGCGCAAAAGTTAAGTTTCGTAAACCTATCTCTGTGTGGACAAGGCCTTCCATTCATAGAAAATGAACCAAAAAATTATGCAAGAACAAACATAAATGTGGATTAATGATTTTAACTTCTGACGCAGCGCCTCGCAGACCGCACTGTGTTTGACGCAATGCGTGAAGTATTCACGCAGTCTTGTAGGCGCTTTCACGCTGGTCGCGCTGTGTTTGCCGCAATGCGTGAGGTATTCATGCATTCTTGTAGGCGCTATCCGTTTCACGCCGTCCGAAATGACCTTACTCTGTTTGATGCAATGCGTGAAGTATACGTGCAGTCTTGTAGGCGCTAATATGTGTTACAAGCCAATCGCCGCGCCGAGAGCTTCTCCTTTTCATCTCAAGTCCTCGTCATCATTTCTCTCTAAGTCGCGCCGTTCCAGGCCAAATTGCGTGTTTGGTTTCTCTCTTAACTCGGCTAATTAAAGGTGCTGTCTCTTGTATCACTGAAAGACGACAAAATTAGAAATTACTGTACTCTCAGGAAATGAGAGATTTTGTCGCCTTTTCTCGTTTGTAATTTTTTTTTCTAAATCTGATTTTTTGTATACCTACATTTAAAAAAATTGCAAAATTTGCCGCCTTCTATAGATTTGCCGCCATGAGCCGCGACCCATGTGGCCATTCCCTTAATTCGGCCCTGGATAGTGTTGTAAATATGTAGTTATACTCACTTGACTGCAACAACACCCTCTGCAGATGGCTGCGCCGGTGGCTGCTCACTAGTTGGACTGTTCCGGGGAGAGATACGAGCAGAAGGGGCTGTACCGGTTGGGCTGTTTGCCCCGGAGCCACATAACTGGAACAGAATGATCGAGGTAGCTGTTAAAGCGGAAATCATCCTCCCTATATTTGCTTTTTTTCGATTACATTCAACTTTTTTCGTGTTTAAATTTCATTTTCTAAGACTCCAGGAGATGAAAGAAGAGGTGAATGTTTTTGTGTTTGCGTAGGCACCTATGCATCATTTTATCACGAGGAAGTGAATTCTGTTTGCTCAAAGCTAATATCAAGGGAGCTTCAGGGAGCTTCGCCATTTTGTCTGGTTAATGTTTGTAGGGGTGAGAGTCAGAAGGACTTAACTGCATAACGACGTTGCCAAGTTTTACTTGATGACCTGTTTTTTCAATAAATACTTAAATGTTTTATTCCTAAAATTTCAGGGAATTTTTATTAAACCGGGAACCGAACCCGAAAAATTCGCAGCAAATCTTAAACGAAAATTTTAAAACGTTCTTGAAAAAACAAGTAGAGTGTTGAGTGAATCTTCGCAATGCTTTAAAGCCCATCTGGCTCTCGCCCCTTCATAATCACTGTATTCACGATGATTAAGTTGGCGGAGCAACTATTCGAACACTCCGGAGATTGTTTTGCCTACACGCTCTTTTGAAGGCGATTTTAAAATTACCGTGCCGAATCTAATTAACAACGGATGACGGTGTAAGTAACACGAAGTAATTTGAAGCTCGTACGCTCAGAACGAACTGAGATTTTTAAGAAATAACTAAAGGACTCTTACAATATAAACATTCACCTTCTACAGTTGAACGCCGCCGTACGAAAGTGAGTGTCATTGGTGATTTTTATTCACCTCAAGTTTCTAATGTAAATTACATTCATTTTCATTATTTATTTTTCCACTTTACCACATAAAAATTACATACTGCCATTGAGGATAGAGTAGTAGTTATTCTCTCTCACAAATTAGACCGTTGAAAACTAGACCAGGGTCAGAATAGTAGTTATTCCCCCAAAAAATTAGATCGTTGAAATGTAGTGTAAAACCTGAAACTGCAAACTTCACCAGTCACGTTTTCAACAAAACTATGAAGAAAGGAACTTCATCGATTAAAGTGTGCTTAGAGTTAACAGAAAGGTTGTGCAACACCCCTTAGTTGATGAACGATTCGTGATTTCCCGAATCGCGGGCATGTCAACCTTAATGTTCCCCATAGAAGGAGAATTCCGAACTGAGCAGAGACCTTAACACGTGTACTGCACGTGTTATTGTCCGCGTGCTCTGAATATTTTTCCATCACCCGTGAGCGCGTTTCTAAGTGCACGCTACATGATTTCGGACAACAAATTTGTTCATTGCATAATGAAACAATACGTAGGAGGAACATCTACTGAAAGCGAAAAAAATTCGGGTAACATGATAGCATTTATACAAATCTGTCCAGCCGAAAATTGGTATACTTTTTCTATGGATTGAATTTCTGGGTTTCCTAGCTTTTCTTACAGTTTTTGATCTATTGGATTGTGAATAGCTACTTTTTGTGTTTCAATTTTAAATTCCTCACGAGATCAATTGTTCTATTTCCAGTAAGTACGATTGACAACCTATTACTTCAGTCGTCCATGAATATAAATGTTTTATTCAGAAAAATTTAAGCTATTTCATCAAACTCCAGGGGAAAATCATAGGAAATATCAGAAGAAATTTAAAACAAACAAAATTGAAAAAATAGGTAAACTGCTGCGTGAAATTTTGCAACGTTGCAGTGCCACTAATCGTAAGCAGCCCCTCTGACTCTTACTCCTTCATTCTCACTGTACTCACGACAATGAAGTCTTCAGAGCAACTATTCGAACACTCCGGAGACGATTTTGCCTATACGCTCTTTTGAAGGCGATTTTAAATTGCAGCGTTGAATCGGATCGGATCGGAAGTAAGTACTTCTTTTTATTCTGCAAAATCGTTTTTCACATCCTGATATGGTAAAATAATGTAATGTACACTTACTGCTGTTTTGTCTGAAACAACGTCAATTTTTGCGCTATGACTGCTTTATCGCAAATCTCGTTTTTGTATATAAATTCTATAGACTAATTTTGCTGTTTTAGCTGCATGAGTTTATTCAAACTAGATTACTTCAACCAATTTCGGAGGAAACTCGATATCGAAAATTTGGGCGTTACTGCTCTTTTGGTAATACGGCAGTAAATCGATGGCTAAAGTTGGGAACAGCGAATCTCCGATTGCGACGTTGCACATTTCCGCTCAGATTTTGTTTTTTCAAAGTTCCCAATCAACAGTCTTTCTTGAATTTTCTGCGAATGTTCTCCACTCATTCAAACTTATTCACAGAAAATGTTACTAGATATTTTAGTCGGTTTTCTCTCTAAAAGAAAAAAAGAACGTAGTCGGAGATTTTGAAACATTGCAATGCAGACACCCATCTTCCGACTTGAGCCATCGATATTGTCTCTGTGTCCACTCAGGGTGGCATGAAACGTAAGAAAGAAATGGAAGATAGGAAATTTCAGGAAATACTTCATGAAATTTCACGAGGCCGTGAAATTTGTCGTATTTTTCAGGGGCTAGAATATGCAACCCGCACTCAAACACACATAAATAGAAGAAAGTCATAATTTTTAAATTTTGCAAATCACGAAAAGGAACCGGTATTTTTCAATATCTTTCAAATTTGTCTGAAATTTCATGAAATATTTCACGAGTTTTCAAGATTTTTTTCATGAAGTTTTACCACCCTGTCCATTGCAAACTAGGATAAAGACTTACGCTGGGTGCACATGATGAGGGGCTAGGGGTCTTCTTCAAGTAGTGCGTGGTGGTTTGCGAGCAAGCGGGGCTGCGAACAGCCGTGGAGCGGCGGTGCTGGAAAACCAGGGTTTTCTCGCCGCTCAGCTTGTTCCGGCCAATCGTGACGTAGCGGCGCCGGTAGCAGAAGCAGGTCGCCGCTCCCACCATCGTCAAGAACAGCGTCGTCCCCAGACATATCCCCACCACTGCCGGCGTCGACACTAAACAAAACAAAACACGAGAATGTTAGTCACAGCTCCTCGACAAGGTAGATTTACACAGGTATGGACAAGTTGAAAAGAGCTTGATGCAAAAACGGCTTTTTTCGCCCCCCCTCTGGAAGTTCTTCAGACTTTGTCTATTGATTACTCATACTTGAGCGCTTCTTTTCCCAAATTTTCAGACCTCCAAAAAATTTTGGGGGGGAGCCAGGGGGGGGGTGGAAGTCAAAACCTTTGAACCTCGATATCTCTTGAACAAAGAAAGATATCGAGGTCCGGTTTGGACGAAACATCGTCTAAAATTGCATACTTTAGGATTCTAATGGTCGAAAGCCCGATATCACATTTTTAAGTCAACATATGTGCTTTTTTCCAGTTTTTAGGTCTAGAAAATTTCTTTTAAACGAAAAATTTACAAAGATCTCAATTTTTTATTTGAACCAAAACCAGTTTTTTAAATTGTTCGTCTTTTTCCGCATCCAACGAGTGGTCCATTAAGCTGGGGAACCAAACGGTTCCGGAGTTATGATCGATTGAAGTTTCCGCTCAACGCGCGCCGACCGATTTTCGCGCGCAAAAAAGTCGGATTTGACTGTTATTAGATCAGATTGAATGTTCAAACTGAGCAAAATGCTTTATTAGGGACTCTTGAGGGTCGCTGAGTTCAGAAATTACAGATACTTCCAAATAATTTACGTTTTTAAAATTACAGCTCCGCAGCGCTATTTTAGAGGCCCACTGAGCGCCGACCGGCCGCTCAGTGGTCCTGTCCGAAGCTGCAATTTTAAAAACGTGAATTTTTTGGAAGTATCGGTAATTTCTGAACTCAGCGACCCTCAAGAGTCCCTAATAAAGCATTTTGCTCAGTTTGAACATTCAATCTGATCTAATAACAGTCAAATCCGACTTTTTTGCGCGCGAAAATCGGTCGGCGCGCGTTGAGCGGAAACTTCAATCGATCATAACTCCGGAACCGTTTGGTTCCCCAGCTTAATGGACCACTCGTTGGATGCGGAAAAAGACGAACAATTTAAAAAACTGGTTTTGGTTCAAATAAAAAATTGAGATCTTTGTAAATTTTTCGTTTAAAAGAAATTTTCTAGACCTAAAAACTGGAAAAAAGCACATATGTTGACTTAAAAATGTGATATCGGGCTTTCGACCTTTAGAATCCTAAAGTATGCAATTTTAGACGATTTTTCGTCCAAACCGGACCTCGATATCTTTCTTTGTTCAAGAGATATCGAGGTTCAAAGGTTTTGACTTCCACCCCCCCTGGCTCCCCCCCAAAATTTTTTGGAGGTCTGAAAATTTGGGAAAAAAAGCGCTCAAGTATGAGTAATCAATAGACAAAGTCTGAAGAACTTCCAGAGGGGGGGCGAAAAAAGCCGTTTTTGCATCAAGCTCTTTCCCATGAGCCTCAGTACGTGTCACATGAAGTACGTGACGTAGGTTAAGGGGCCCGTTTTTTAATTAAATTACAATCAAATTAACATTCAAACGTTTGTACGTTCAAACGTTAAAATTAATATCGCATTATCAAAATTGTGCAAAAAATCCCACAAAATTTTGACAAACGATAAACCGAACATAATAAATCAAAATAATCAAAACATACAAAATGGCGGAAGTTAAGGGGCCTCCGGAGAGCCAATCAGAGGCCAGTTGTTTAGTTCTGTCCGCTCCTCGATGAGCATGCAGTTACGATGAAACAACATACACACGTCCCTTGTAGCAGTGGAAGTTAGAGATAACCATGTTACTACTGAAAATAATTTGAAATAGCATTTTGATAGCTGGACGTATTTCTATCAAACGGACCTAAGCGCCATAGGGTGAGGAAGGTAGAGGGGGGCTTGGATTGGCGGCGGAATCGGGCGTCCGGCTTTTTCCGTCCTATACTCGCAATGCTTTTCCATGGCGCTTAGGTCCGTTTGACAGAACGCGCTATCCGGGATTCTGAATTCCTCAAAAGGAACTCAAATTGGTGCTTAGTTCCGTTTGATAAAAATACGTCCACTGCAAGTAGTTTGTTATACTTAAATAATATATTCGACGGCGTAAGTCCACAATCACATATTTTGTTTGCGGTGTCTGAAAATCTCCGCCGCTACTTTATTTTTTCAAAGGAGAACGAATTGACATCATTCCTTGAAGTTTATGCAGATTTTTCTTCGCACAGAGAAGAAAAATTACGACAGTTTTAAAGAATTGCCGTCGAGAAGTTTTCCGTTTAAGAAATAAAGTATGACAGGAAGTCTGCGACGTCGCAAACTAAATTATGTGATTGCCGACTTACACCGTCGATATTGTATACCTGCTACTATAATGCCTAATATCAGTGGCGATTTTGCAAGTTGGCAACACTGCTTTCTTCCATTAAAGTAAATCAATTAAAAATATTGATTTTAGGTGAAACAAGCTGCTCCACCAAGAATCGATTGTTTTACATACAATTAAATGGAGGAAAAACAATGTTGCCCACTTTCAAGAATCGCCACTTCGTAATATTTTTCTTAGAATTGCTAAATATACTTCTTGCCAAAAGTAACGTATTTTTTGTTATTTGAACAATTAGAGTCATTCGTCAAATTTCTACATTTATTTCATAGCGTTTATGGATAGCGGGCACTGCATGACGGTGAAAAGACCGGAATCTGGCAAAGATTCCCTATAGATATAAGATGCACAAATAACTGTACACAATGTTCTTATAAATTAATCTAATTTTTTGTGGCTGTTTTTGCATTCAAAATTAGGTATAGAAAACTCACCACGTAGTGCGACACGAAAAAAAAACATCGATCCATAATTCGAATCACATAAAATGCGCATTGCATAAACTTCAAAAACTCAGTTTTTACCCATTTTTCAATGACTCTTACCGCTAAGGTAGGTAAGTACGCGGCTGTGCTATCCAACAATAACTGCTTCTACTTTATTTTAATGAAGAGCCGACAGGTACGCCTCCTGGACACTTTGCAGTCCAGTCCCTCCTGAAGCGATTTACACCTTAAGGTTTTTTGTACCGGAATGCGTCATATCGGTATGATTGCGGCGCACGGTAGATCGAGTCAATAGAAGAGGTCGGACAAAATTTGGAAACTTTAAACGCTTATAACTCCGTCTATACAACACTTTGAGGTTCTAAAAGTGGTTCCATTGGTTTCCTCGCGAAATTTTCATCTTAACACCCCTTGAAATTTAAAATGCGACGAAATAAACATCAAAATTTGCAGTTTGTTTTAATAAAAAAAATGTCATGTCCAACCTCTCCAATTGACTCAATCCTCTGTGCGGCGGGTTTATGTTACGTTATTAAAATTGAATGAAGTAAATATTGTGATAGCGAGAGGCGAAATGCTTCTAAATATAGAGAAGAACGATGCATTAACAATACTAAGAGCTCAGAGAGGTTGATTCGACATCACTCAAAAAACAACTAAGAAGTATATAAATACACTCTCTAAGATGTTATTTTAAGTTAAAGCACGATAAATTATAAATTTGTGAAAAACGTGGATATTGCGAGAGATTTATTTTGGTCCTAAATCTCGTACCGTCTCAATTGAATCTCTCAGTTTAAAATCAACCAAACTCGGGTTCTTTACGATGTTCATTTTTTTGCGTGAAAACACTTTTTTTCTGGCTGTTACGCAGTTTTTATTGTCTTTTGAAAAATTTCTTTTTTTCGAGATAGGTCGCTTTTGAACGGAGAGATCCAATTGGTTCTTTAATACCTAATAGGAACTTTGCAAAACGATAATCCGGGTATCGGAACTTGACGGTTTTGAAAACGCCTTCAAATGCGGCGTGATACCTGACGCATTTTGGAGAGTTCAAATAGTTGTATCATTGCGCCGTAAGAATGTGACGGAAGATTAAAATGGGAATAGCTTCCATGCACGCTAGGCTTGTCGATTTCCTTTGGCATTTTAGCAGTCGTGAATGCATAACTAAAATGCGCTCCAGCTAGAATTGAATTTAGCAAATGGGTGGTTTTTATACGAGGATTAAAAATAAACGAATGGTACGGAATAAAACATAATAATACTTCTTTGTATAGACAATCTCTCTGTTCTACATCTTTACTCTTTCTTCCGCTATGCTTTGTCTTCGGCTAGCTTTCCGGAACACTGATATTTAGGGAGGATTGAGCTAAGTTACAGATTGATTCAGCCTTTAACACCATGCCCTGAAACGATCGCTTGAAATCAGTATCAAGGTCAAACACATAAAAGCAACTTTGTTCAACGGAGAAAAGCCTCGCGTCGTACGAGTTGTAGAAAGTTCAACATTCAGTCGACATTTAAGGGCCGGAAGAGGAGTGAAGTAAGTTTCGTGCAATCCCTTAAGGTCATTTCGGAAAGCACTAAGCACACTACGAAACCCGTCGTTAAATTCCGTCGAGCGGAGTTGCCTTATGATGACTTCCGCTGGTGGCGCGCCTTCAATTTCGGCGAACAGCAATATGACCAGCACCAGTGCTCGAATAGTTATCTCATGAACGCCGTGCATAACATCGATTTCAGTACACATATTGCGGTTCGCGAGCGATGCCAGCGCTTAAAATTTTACATAAACTGTGATCAAGTTACCAAATAAAGAGGTGAAAAAATTATTTTCCTACGACATTCATCGGTAGGTACGAAAAGAAAATTTTATTCACCAATTTTTCCCATCGTTCTTGATGCTGTGAGGGTTAATAGCATTCTTCTCATTTTTCTCCTCTCTTGTATCGGCGATAAAACTACGAGACCACGTATCTCGTTTAAGGGCGTTTAAAAGTCTCCGTTCCGATTTTGTTATTGTGAAAAAGAACAAACCAATATCATTCCTTGAAGTTTTCACAGCGCAGTTGCCTCATGATGACTTCCGCTGGTGGCGCGCCTTCAATTTCGGCGAACAGCAATATGACCAGCACCAGTGCTCGAATAGTTATCTCATGAACGCCGTGCATAACATCGACTTCAGTACACATATTGCGGTTCGCGAGCGAT